CCTTTAGCGTCCGTCTGGAGACCATAGGTGCCGGCGCTCCACCGCCGGCGCTGCCGCTGCGAGGTACAAAGTACCCGCTCCCGTCGCGCGCGAGGCGCGGGCTCGACGAGCGCGGCGCGCCGTGCTCGACGCCGCCGCCGAGCCCAAGCCCGACGCCGAGCCCATCTCGCGCGGCGTCCCTCGCGCCGACCGTGTGGCGGCTCGCTCCCGCACCCGTCGTGCGCACTCGGCGATCCGGGCTCGGTGACCCGCCGGGAGCGGACGGGCGCGCCGAGCGGCGCGCGACGGTCGGCGACGGCCAGGACGGCGGGTACAGGTCCTCGCCGGCGGACGACTCGCCGTCGTCTGGTGCGGGGCCGGTGAGGTCTGAGAACGAGATGCGCGAGGGTGGGGCGCTCGAGGGGGTCGGGTTCGGGGTGGGGGAGGTGGGCGTGCGGAGGAAGTCGAGCTGGAGGAGGGAGAGGGGGTGGCGGGTCAGTGGTGTGATCGTGGGTCGTGGGAGGGAGAGAGAGAGGGGAAGGGGAGGGCGGTGCGACGCACCCTCGACGGGGAGCGAGCCTTCCTCGGGTCGGCGTCGTGATTGGCGCGCGCGACCGACACCTCGAGCGGGCCCGTCAGGCTCCTCCTCGGCGCCCTGCGCTGCTGGGACCCGTCAAAGCTCACACGCGACGCAAAGCTGTCCTTGCGCGACGGCGACGGCGACAGGACGTCCGGGTCGACCGCCGAGGCCGAGGGGGGTGGCGGTGGGGCGAAGAGCGACTTGAGGAAGGCGGACGACGAGAGCTTTGGCGAGCACGACACGCGGTGGCTCGAGAGGGCAAAGGCAAAGGCGCAGATCTGGGTCGGGGACGAGAGTGCAGGTGAGCAAGAGTCGGCGGCAGGGGGGAGAAAGGGAGGCAGGAGCAGGGAGGGAACGCACCCAGGCGACCTCGTCTGCGACCCTGCGGACGAGCTCGTGGCGAGTCGAGCGGCCTCTCGGGTCGTCCGGGGTGGCAGAGCCGACGCGCAGGACGAGGGACGGGTGGTCGGATGCGAGGGCGACGGTGAGCGAGATGAGGAGGCGGTCGTCGAACAGGGGGGCGTAGGGGTCGGGCTGAGCGTGCAGGAGCGGGACGAGGTCGGCGAGGGAGGCCATGCAGTCGCTAGGTGGCCTCCTCTGCCTCTGTGCGAGAGAGCGAGAGAGAGGGACGCTCCTCCTCGTCGTCGTCGTCGTCGTCGGACCTTCCCTCCCTCGACCACACCTCAGCATGGCCAAGAAGACCGCCGCCAAGGCTCAAGAGTCCCAGCAGACTGTCGCCCTCACTCCAGAGCAGCTCGGTGCGCTCCAACCCACAGCCCTCGCTCTCTCCACACGTTGCTCACCACCTCCTCCCCTCCCCACAGCCGCTCTCCCTCCTGCGTCAACCACCGACGCTCCGCCCGTCGCGCTCGACCGCACCCCAGCCCCAAAGGTCAACACGCACAACATCACCGAGCTCAAAAACGCCCTCGACGACCACGTCAAGGACCTCCTCTCGCGCCCCTCAGCTGCCGGCACCACGTCGCGCCCCCCGTTCACGCGCTCGTACCGCCACGACGACGTGCGCCTCGCTCTTGGTTGGTCGAGCGTCGCAGTCGCCGCCGCGACGGGCTACTACGGGTACCGCACCCCGTTTAACGACAGCACCCTCTGGGTCTCACTCGGCGTCGCCCTGTGCGTCCCTCTCTCCTCTCTCTCACTCTCTGTGGTTCGGTCTGGTTGCGGCATGACTGACTCGAGAGAACGTGCGCGCACAGGTACGTCGTCCTCAACACGGCGCTCGCGCTCCACGTCGCGCTCGTCGAGAAGAACACCATCTTCGAGGGCAAGCGCCGTACCCTCGCCTCGCGCGTGCGTCGCGCTCTTCCTCTCGCTCTTTTCTCTCTCTGCTCGTCAGCGTCTCGCGGTGCGAGTCGCCTGCAGCAGAGATGTTGAGATCACGTGCGAGATAATGACGCCCCGCTCGCCCGCACGCGCAGATCTCGACCGAGCGCCTGAGCGTCTCGTCGCTCGCGGCCGCCTCGCCCCGCACCTTTACCGCCTCGTCCTGGGTCCCCTTCCCTCTCTCCCTCCTCGCGGCGTCGCCCTCCCTCTCGCTCTCCTCGCCCACCTCCTCCTCCCCCTCCTCGGCGCCCTCCCCCGCGTCCTACCCGCTCTACGCCCTCACCCTCTCGTACTCGCACTCGTCGAGCGCAGGCAAGGCGCTCCTGCACCGCGCGTCGCACCAGCTCGTGAGCCCGTGCGCGGCCTTCTTTGACGGCGAGGGAAGGCTCGCGAGCGGACGGGTCGACGAGTGGGTCGAGCGCGCGCTCGAAGAGGTGCAGGGCGACAAGGGCGCGAGGGGCGAGGGACGGTAGTAGCGGGTGGGTGAAGCGTTGGTGGGTTCCGCTTGCGAGGACGTCGCCGCCGCGGAGAGAGAAAGAGAGAGAGCGTCTCGCGAGAGGCTCTGCCCGATGTCGGCTCGCTTTGACAGGCTTGCAGCTCTCGACAGCTCTCGACGGCTCTCGACGAAAAGGAAAGAGCTGGCGAACGAGCGAGTTGCACGAGAGCTGGCTCGAAGGGAAAGGAAGGCCGACGACGCCTCGCGCTCGAACCTGCGCCGCTGCGGACCCTCGGCCTCGAGCGCACCGCCGTCGCGCCGCCGCCTCACTGCGCGATCGTCGCGAGGCCCTCGATGCGCGCCTGCTCGAGAGCGTAGCGCTTGCCCTCGACGGATGCGGGCCCGAACGTGTTGTGCAGGATCGCGTACGCCTTCTTGGCGCAGGTGACGCCGGCGATGTGCTCCTTGACCTCGACCGTGCACGTCGAGCGCAGCATCGGGTAAACCGCTTGGCAAGGGACGCATGGGTACTGCGGGTCCCAACAGTCGTTCTCGTGTTCCAGCGCGTCTTTCCAGCCGCAAACGCGGGCCACCTCGTCGATGGCGAGCTCCCAGCTGCGCCAGTTGGCACTGCCGGAGAGCTTGTTCACCTTGAACGCCGTCATGACCTGGGCCGCAAGGCTGACCCTTGTCGCCCAGTCCATCGTGATGGAAGGCGAGGCGGGTCGGGAGGTGGAAGAGGGTGCGACGGAGGGTGGACCTGCGGGCGCGAGTTCAGTGAGCTCGAGACGAGTGAGAAATGCTCCCGGCTGGAGGAGACGCACCGACTCGGGTCCTGGCAGTCTGCTGAGGAGGGAAGAGAGAGCGAGAGCTGCGACGCCGAGCGAGCAAACGCTGGCGGTCCGTCCGAGAGGAGGCGTGTGCGCCGGGGGCTGAAGCACGCCGAGGGCGGAGGTCGATCGCGCCTCCTGTCCGCCGTGCCACGCGGCAGCGAGCTTACAGGCGCGCGTGACTGCGTCCATCAGAGGCAGCGCTCGACGAGTCGCGCGAGGTCGAGGCAGCGCTGCGCTCGAGCGGTGCAAGGCGAAGCGGGAGCACAAAGCAGCAGGGAGCTCTGAATAGGAGCGACTGAGCATCACGACGAGAGCGAGTGAGCGGTCGCACGTCGAGAGCGAGGTCGAGAGAAGGAAGGAGGAAGGGGAGGAGAGAGATGACGGCCCTCGTCCACTGCACCGCTCTTGCTCCAGCTGAGCACCGCCAGACCACCTTGAGCACCCACTCGACCACCTCGAGCCATGCGCCGCGGCCAACGGCACAACGCCATCACCAACTCGCCCGTCGTCCGCTCCTTCATCCGACCTGTCCTCTCCTCGGTCCCCTCGGCTCCAGCCGCCGCCACGACCAGCGCAGCACAGCAAGAGACGCTCAACAAGTACCTGGGCGAGGTTGTGCAGCCGGACGAGCGGTGGCTGATCCCGACTCAGCCCTCGTTGGTCGCGGCGGCGGGAGGTGCGGTCGTCGAGGTCGAGGACAAGGGCGGGCGGCCCGGTTCGAGCGACGTCAAGGGCAAGAAGCGCGCTCGAGTCGACGAGCTCGACGGCGAGGCGCACGCGGTCGAGTACGACGAGGCGGCGGGCACTCGGTTCGGCGTCCAGGTGCGCTACTCGGAGGACAACCTCCCTCTCGAGCTCGACAAGTGTGCGTCCAGCTCTCTCTTTCTTTTCCTCTCGTCGACGCTCTCACCGAGCGACTGACTCGCCCGAGGCACGCCCGCAGACTGGGCGCAGCGGTACCGCCTCTTCTCGCTGTTTGACGACGGGTGCGAGATGGACCGCGAGGGGTGGTACTCGGTCACGCCCGAGAACGTGGCAGCCCAAATCGCCGAGCGCTGTCCGTCCACTCTCTCTTCTCGTGAGACGGGCGGGGAGAGGAGCGGCAACTGACTCGAGGTGGGCGTGCGCGAGAACAGGTCGAAGCGGCACCATCGTCGACGCGTTCTGCGGCGTCGGCGGCAACGCGATCCAGTTTGCCTTCACCTGCGAGCGAGGTGCGTCCACGCCCTTCTCTCCCCGACCCTCCAACCTAGCTGAGCTGACCCAAACTCGCCCTCGCAGTCATTGCTCTGGACACGTCGCCCGTCCGCCTCGCGTGCGCAGCCCACAACGCGCGCGTGTACGGCGTCGCCGACCGCATCACGTTCATCCTGGGCGACTGGGTCGCGTGGGCGCGAGCGTACGCCGAGCGACTCGAGCGCGGCGAGGTCGTGAGCGACGAGGACCGCGTCGAGTGCGTCTTCCTGTCGCCGCCGTGGGGCGGGATCGACTATCAGACGACGCTGTCGACGACGGCGGGTCCGGTGCAGCCGCCGGCAAAGAAGAAGAAGCGGCGGCGGCAGTCGTCGGGCGTCGACGGCGGCGAGGTCGACCCGGCGCCGCCGACTCAAGGAGGTGGCGCCTACCCGCTCTCGGCGCTCGCCCCGCTCCACGGCGCCGACCTGTTCGCCCTCGCGCGGCGCATGACGCCCAACGTCGCCATGTTCCTCCCTCGCAACGTCGACCTCCTCGAGCTCGCGACGCTGCCCGGGCTCGGCGAGACGGAGAAGGTCGAGGTCGAGGAGGCGTGGATGGGGTGGAAGTGCAAGGCCGTGACGGCCTACTTTGGCGAGCTGGCGGTCGGCAACGGGTACGTCGGCGGGAACGAGGACGAGCAGGAGCGTTGAGTAGCGTCGCTGCGAGTGCAACTCGTCGTCCTCCCACTTTGCGAAGGTCGAGCGAGCGAGAGCACGAGACGGCCTTGAGCTTGAGGTCTCTGAGCCTTATGAGTGACGGGCAAGTCAATCAGCTCGAATGCAGCAGCGAGATAAGAAGCGAGAGCCTGCAGCTGCTCCTGAGGCGAGGCGAAAGAACGGATCTCGCGCGACGAGTCCGTGCGGCGTCCTCGCTCTCTCGTAAGGCCTCGAGCCGCAGCAGGGGCTCGCTCACCAATGTGCGAGATGAAGGAGAGAGACTGATACACATTGCACGCAGCTGGACCTCGCCGCCGCCGTCTCGCCTCGACCCAGAGAAGCCGCTCCACCTCGCCCGCGCTGCCTCGCACGGCCGCACACTCGCCCGACGCTCCTGCTGGCCGAGAGAGGTAGGCATGTCAGCTTCCACTTGTGCTGTGAGAGCGAACGAGAGAGAAGGGGCGCACCTCACTCGCCCTCGACCGGCTCGACTGGCTCCGAGTTGGACGACGCGGCACCAATGCGCGACTTGGCCTCGGCAGCAGCCGCCTTGCGCGCCTCGCGGTCCTGCTTCTTCTTGGCCGCCTCGGCCGCGCTCGTGTCGACCGTCTGCTTGGGCGTGTCGCCGGTCGAAGTGGACGGCGCGGTGGACGAGGCGGCGGCGGCGCTCTGCTTCCTCGCGGCTTTGGCGGCGAGCTGCTTGCGGGGAGGTTTGCCGCCGGTGCCCTTGCGCGCGCTCTGCTTCGTGCGAGTCATGGCGACGAGCGAGAGGGTGAGGCGAAGGGAGAGAGAAGAGCCGAACGGTCGCGACTGGATGCGCTCTCGATTCGAGCCGTCGCTCGTCCCGGCCCACGGTCTGCACAGCGCGAGCGACGCCGGCAAGTCCGCGCTCTGTCCGCGAGAGCCGAGCGGGCGTGCGTCGCGCCGAGAGCGAGGCTGTGCTGCCAGCGGAAGAGACGGAGAGTTGCGCGGTCCAAGCGGGCTCCTCGCCGCGCTCGTCGAACCGCTCATCCTCTCAACGCGCCGACGCTCGACGCGTTCAGGGACAGCAGCAAAGGCTCGTCGGCGACGCACAGAGACGAGGGAACAGCAGAAATGGGAGAGCGAGGGGCGAAAGGCGCATTCGAGCCAAGTCGAGGCGGAATCGCTTCTCGCCGTCTCTCGGCGACTCTTCTCTCGCACCTCTCGCACCGCGCAGCACACTCGAGGAGGAAGCAGCCCAACGACTGTATTGGCAGCCCTCGCGCCCCCAAAAACCCCTTCCCAAGGTACCACCCGATCCCGGTCGCGAGCGACGCAGGTTTAGGCAATGAGGGTCGACGCGGTCGCGGCCTCGTACTTGAACGTGGGCGGGAGCTGCGACTTGGTGCGGTAGTAGCGCGCGAGGCGGTGGATACGCGACTCGATGAGAATCAGGCGGAACTTGGAGTCTGCGAGGGGGCGCGAGGCGAGAGTCAGACGACGCTCAACGGACATGGAGCCGCCGAGCACCCGGAGCGGATGCACGAGAGACGCCAAGACGAGCGAGCGAAACGGCGGGACGCACCCTTGTCGTGGCGGTTGCGCTCGAGGTGCTTGCGAACCTGGACGGCCTTCTTGATGAGGTGGTACAGGTCCTCGGGGATCTGGGGCGCGAGGCCGGCCGTCTTGAGGATGCGGAGGATCTTGTTACCGGTGACCGACTTGACCTGGGCGACGCCGTGCGAGTCGCGGAGGATGACGCCGATCTGCGACGGCGTGAGGCCCTTGCGCGCGAGCTTGAAGATCTGCTCCTTGATCTCGTCGGGCGAGGTCTTGAGCCAGCGCGGCGCCGAGCGCTTGTACGGGAGGGCAGAGCCCGCCTGTGGAAGAGAGGGAGGGGCGAGGTGAGCGACGCGTTCCGGGCGAGAGGGGAGCGGGGCACGGCGAGACTCACGATACCCTTGTGGGGGTTGTGCATGCGACCCATTCTGGCTAAGTTGTCGGGGGCTGTACACGGTCGGGCGAGTCGACGGGAGGGCGAGGGAGGCGAGAGAAGGGGGAGGAGAGAAGGTCAGCACGGTTCGTCGAGGACGAGAACGAGACGAGGGAAACGGGCGACGCACGTTCTGTTTCGATGAAGGGGACCAACCGCAAGAGCAGCTGTCAGCACCTCATTCGAGAGGGAACCGGGTCCAGCTCTCCTGTCCCCTGCGCGACCCGAGCTCGCTCTCTGGCGGGAAGAGAGGCCGAGACTGCGAGTCGGCCCTCGTCGAAGGGGGGCACGGCGCGAGTGCTTATCGCATGCTGCAGAGAGAGAGGGTCATGGGGCTTACGGGGTGGCGACGGCGGAACTGGGGAGGGTCGAGGTCGAGGTCGAGGACGAGGTCGAGAGTCGGAGGAGAGGAGAGGGGAGCGAGGAGGAGGGGGCGGGAGTAGAAGCGAGGTCAGTGAGGCGAGCCCACACGGAGGAGTGCTGGTGGCGACTCACAAGTCGGGGAAGCTTCAACGAAAGGGTCCAAAGGAAGAGAAGGGAGGGCGAGAGGAGGCGGCGCAGAGAGGTTTGCGGCCGCCGCGCCTGGACCGCCGCGCCGACTCGCCGCTCGCCCAAGTCGCTCGCCCACCGGCCTCCCCTCTCTCCCTCGTCTCCTCGGTCACGTAAGCTCTGCCCCATTGCTCAGGTGCACTCGAGCTTCCGCCACCCGTCGACCCACCCGCGCCAACCGCCCCGCCCACCTCGTCGACGACCTGGCTCGAGCCCACCTGCGCCGGGGCAAAAATGGAGGACTCGCCCGACCACGCCCCAACGGCTGCTCCTGCGAGCGCTACCGCCGGTCGAAGCGCGACGATGGACTGGTCCCGAGGCAGCAGGGCATGAACGGCGGGCGCAGGGCGGGCGGCGAGGGCGGCAGCAGCAGCACCACCCGCACCCTTCGTCTCGACTCGGGCGCGCTGACCCACCTCGTCCCCCTCGCAACAGCATGAAGTTGTGCTTTGCCAACCCTGCCACCGGGCAGCAGAAGACCATCGAGATCGATGACGAGCGCAAGACGTGCGTCCCACCTCTCCCTCGTTCCCCTCCTCTCGGGCGTCGCCGTCGTCGAGCTCGAACTGACCCTCTCGACCTCCCCACACCTCGTCCCACCGCACAGTCGCATCTTCTACGAGAAGCGCATGGCCCAGGAGGTCCCGGCTGACGCCCTCGGCGACGAGTTCAAGGGCTACGTCGTGAGGATCACCGGCGGCAACGACGTTCGTCTACTCTCGCTCTCTCTCGCCTCGCTCTCCTCGGGTCCGCCTGCTCACCGCGTCTTGCCCACCTCCTTCCACCCCCTCTCGACACCTCTCGCTCCGCCGACACCGTACCCGCACGCTTGCGCCGCTGTTGCGCTCCCCCTCCCTACCACTCTCGACGCTCGACCACGACCCTCGCTCGATCACTACCTCGACCACTCGACCACCACGTGCTGCGGGGCATTCACCGAGTGCAGAAGCAGGGATTCCCGCTTAAGCAGGGTGTCCTTGTCCCGCACCGTGTCAAGCTCCTCCTCGCCAAGGGCCACTCGTGCTACCGCCCCCGCCGCGACGGCGAGCGCAAGCGCAAGTCGGTCCGCGGCTGCATTGTCGGCCCGGACGTCCGCGCGCTCCACCTCGTCGTCGTCAAGCAAGGCGAGTCGGACATCCCGGGCCTGACCGACACGGTCCTGCCCAAGCGCCTCGGCCCCAAGCGCGCGACCAAGATCCGCCGCTTCTTCAACCTCGACAAGTCGGACGACGTGCGCAAGTTTGTCATCCGCCGCGAGGTCGTCCCGAAGAAGGAGGGCGCCAAGCCCTACACCAAGGCGCCCAAGGTGCGTCCCGGACTCTCTCTCTCTCAGATCCAGCGACGGCGACCCTCGTCCCCTCTCCTCGTCCTGTACCTCTTTCGATCTCTTCTTGTCTACAACGTCCTCGCTGTGGCGCCCTCGGCCCAGCCTGTCGAGCCGGCGCGCCGCCGGTCACCTCACGCTCCCTCCCTCGTCTCTCGCATCTCCTCGAAGCATTCAGCGACAGCCCCACTGACACTCTTTCTCTCCCCGTTCCCTTCTACGCAAAAAGATCCAGCGCCTCGTCACGCCGGAGCGCCTGCAGCGCCGCCGCCACCTGCGCTCGCTCAAGCGCCGCAAGACCGAGTCGCAGAAGGCGCAGAAGGCCGAGTACGAGGTCGTGGTCGCCAAGCGCCTCGCCGAGCGCAAGCAGGTCGCCAGCGCCGTCAAGGCCAAGAAGGCCGCTGCCCGCTCGGCGTAAAAAGCACACACCCTCTCCAACTTGTGCTTTTTCCCCACCTGCCGTCGCTGCTGCAACCGTCGATTTCCGTTCTTCTCCTCCCCGACTGCGTCTCTGTGCGTGCGAGGGGTGGATCGGTGCGGGTCGAGCGAGGAGGGGAGTCGGGCTCGGGGCTTGTAGGGGTGGTTTGTACCGAGAGTGCGGCTTCCCAGACTCGTCTCGTCGTCGCTGGATCTGCGAGAGCGCGAGAGGGCTCGGGCCTCCTCTTTTGCTTCGGCCTCGCTCGCCGCTCTCTCGAACGATCTGCACGATCTGTCCGTCGTTCATCGCGCAAGGGATCCTGCGAGCGAGCACGAGATGAGGCCCGCGGATGAGGAGGTGCGAGCGAGCGACCGAGTGGGGCCGGCCCGACTCGCGACTCGCTTCTCCTCCCTCCTCTCACTTCCCCTGCTCCACCTCATCCGCTAGCATGGCTCGCAGCAAGATGCGCTCGGTCAAGACGATCGGCTTCGGGCGGCTCCCACGTCGCCGTGTCGACCCTGCGCTCGACGAGTCCGAGTCGACCGACAGCTCGACCTCGCCCTCGCGCGCCGCGTCCCCCGAGCCATCCGAGCCGGCCCGCTCCGCCGCGCCAGAGCCTGAGCACAAGCCGGAGCCCGCGCCACCTCAACTCGCAGAGCCCGCCTCGACCGCCGCCGACCCACCCTCGACCTCAGCCGCCGCGACCGCCAACCTGTTCGAGCCCGCCCGCTCCGCGGCGTCCGAGCCCGAGCCCAAGCCCAAGCCGGACCTTGTCGTCGACGACGAGATTGCCGCGGCGATCAAGGCCGTCAAGGAGGCGCGCAAGGCCGTCAAGGAGGCGCGCAAGGCCGCCCAGGCCGCGAAGAGGGCGGCCACGTCACTCGACGACGAGCGGCAGGTCAAGCGCGTCAAGCGCGAGTGAGGTGCGCTCGCCTTTCTCTCTCTCGCACACTCTCTTGTGCACTCTCTCGTCTCTTGAGTCGTCGAGCTGACCTTCCCTAGCCCCGCGTCGGCGGCGGCGGCGGCAGATGTGGTCGAGGCGGTCCGCGGTCGGCGAGTCGGGTCGAGGAAGCGCTTGAGACGTCGAGGCTTGCGCAATGCAGCAGCGCGGTACCTTTCACACCCTCTTGCGAGTCTGCGAGCGTAGAATGGGCACACCGCGAGGCTGCTTCGAGAGAGAAACGCGCTCAACTTTCGCTGGATCTGCTCTTCTTGCCTCGTCTCGCAAGCAGCCACAGCCTCCTGGCCCGCCCTCGCTGGTCCGTTCGAGCATCTCGACTTGCTCGTCGCTCTCGTAAGGCTCTCAGGCCTCAAGCTCGAGGTCGTCTCGTGCTCCCGCTCGCGCGACCTTCGCAAAGTGAGAGGACGACGAGTTGCACACCGAGCGACGCTGCTCAACGGTCCAGATCGTCCGCCCCTCCGTCGACGTACCCATTGCCCACCGCCAGCTCACCGAAGTAGGCTGTCACGGCCTTGCACTTCCACCCCATCCACGACTCCTCGACCTCGACCTTCTCCGTCTCGCCGAGCCCGGGCAGCGTCGCGAGCTCGAGGAGGTCGACGTTGCGAGGGAGGAACATGGCGACATTGGGCGTCATGCGGCGCGCGAGGGCGAACAGGTCGGCGCCGTGGAGCGGGGCGAGCGCCGACAGCGGGTAGGCGCCAGCTCCTCCTCGTGCCGGCGCCGCTGGGTCGTCCTCGCCGCCGTCGACGCCCGACGACTGCCGCCGCCGCTTCTTCTTCTTCGCCGGCGGCTGCACCGGACCCGCCGTCGTCGACAGCGTCGTCTGATAGTCGATCCCGCCCCACGGCGGCGACAAGAAGACGCACTCGACGCGGTCCTCGTCGCTCGTGACCTCGCCGCGCTCGAGTCGCTCGGCGTACGCTCGCGCCCACGCGACCCAGTCGCCGAGGATGAACGTGATGCGGTCGGCGACGCCGTACACGCGCGCGTTGTGGGCGGCGCACGCGAGGCGGACGGGCGACGTGTCGAGAGCGATGACTGCGAGGGCGAGTTTGGGTCAGCTCGGCTAGGTTGGAGGGTCGGGGAGAGAAGGGCGTGGACGCACCTCGCTCGCAGGTGAAGGCAAACTGGATCGCGTTGCCGCCGACGCCGCAGAACGCGTCGACGATGGTGCCGCTTCGACCTGTTCTCGCGCACGCCCACCTCGAGTCAGTTGCCGCTCCTCTCCCCGCCCGTCTCACGAGAAGAGAGAGTGGACGCACAGCGCTCGGCGATCTGGGCTGCCACGTTCTCGGGCGTGACCGAGTACCACCCCTCGCGGTCCATCTCGCACCCGTCGTCAAACAGCGAGAAGAGGCGGTACCGCTGCGCCCAGTCTGCGGGCGTGCCTCGGGCGAGTCAGTGCCTTACTGGGAGTGTCGACGAGAGGGGGAAAGACAGAGCTGGACGCACACTTGTCGAGCTCGAGGGGCAGGTTGTCCTCCGAGTAGCGCACCTGGACGCCGAACCGAGTGCCCGCCGCCGCGTCGTACTCGACCGCGTGCGCCTCGCCGTCGAGCTCGTCGACTCGAGCGCGCTTCTTGCCCTTGACGTCGCTCGACTCGGGCCGCTTGCCCTCGTCCTCGACGCCGACGACCGCACCTCCCGCCGCCGCGACGAGCGAGGGCTGAGTCGGGATCAGCCACTGCTCGTCCGGCTGCGCGACCTCGCCCAGGTACTTGTTGAGCGTCTCTTGCCGTGCTGCGCTAGTCGTGGCGGCGGCTGTAGCGGCGGGGACCGAGGAGAGGACAGGTCGGATGAAGGAGCGGACGACGGGCGAGTTGGTGATGGCGTTGTGCCGTTGGCCGCGGCGCATGGCTCGAGGTGGTCGAGTGGGTGCTCAAGGTGGTCTGGCGGTGCTCAGCTGGAGCACGAGCGGTGGTGGGCGAGAGCCGTCCTCTCCCTCCTCCCCTTCCTCCTCTCGACCTCGCTCTCGACGTGCGACCGCTCACTCGCTCTCGGCGCGAAGCGCAGTCGCTCCACTTCAGTGCTCTCTGCTGCTCACGTGCTCCCGCCTCGCCTTGCACCGCTCGAGCGCAACGCTGCCTCGGCCTCGAGCGACTCGTCGACTGCTGCCTCTGCTCGTCGCAGCCACGCGCGCGTGTGTGCTCGCTCCCGCGTGGCACGGCGGACAGGGGGCGCGATCGACCTCGGCCCTCGGCGTGCTTCAGCCCCCGGCGCACACGCCTCCTCTCGGTGGGCGGACCGCGACGCCATTGTGCTCGTTCGACCTCATCGCTCTTGCTCCTCTCCAGCTCTCCTGCCTCGAGTCTGCGCAGTGAGCACCCCGTTCCTTTCTCAGAGGGTGCAAGGACCGACTCGAGCTGACCGCCGCCTCGTCCCGCAGCCGCACCCCCGCTCGTCGCCTCGTCTCCCTCGCCGCCGCCGTGAGCACCTCCCTGTCCTCTCCCCAAGCCTGCGCACGCCGGCGACTGACCTCTGCCCGCCTCTCACAGTCTCGCCAAGCAGCCGCCGATGTTTGTCGACCCAGCACGAGCCGCCCTCGCGCTTCAATCCGTCCAGACGGTGCGCGTCCCTCGCCTGACGGCCCACGCCGACTGGCACGAGTGGGTCCTCGCCGTCGAGGAGGCAGCGACGCTCGGCGGGTGGGCCGACGTCCTGTACGGCCGGCGACCGCGGCCCGAGGCGACGCCGTGGACCTCGCCGAGCGCGACCCTCGTCGAGGAGCAGGCGAGGTGGGACGAGGAGAACCAGAGGGCATACCTGCTCCTGAGGTCGCTGTGCGACTACACGGTCAAGATGACGATGGGCGACGAGACGTGCGCGGCGAGGGTCTATGTCGGGCTGCGCAAGCGGTACGGGAACTCGTCGGCGCATCATCGGTGACGGAGCGGCGACGCAGGACGACGTCCAGAGCGGTAATCTATCGTGCTACCGACGACTGTCGATCGAGCAGGAGGCGGCCGAGCGACCGCGAGCGGGAGAGCGGCGGCGCGAGATCGCGCCCGGGTCGAGAGAGCTGCTGTCGCCTCTCCTCTCTCGAGCGCGCCACAGGAAGAGAGAGTGCGTCGATGAAAGAGTCTACATGGCATGTTTTGAGCCTTGGGCACTACGAGAGAGAGAGAAGAAAGAAACACATGGACCGCCCTCGCGCGCACGAACCTCGACCTGCGCTCGCCGCCACTCGCCGCCGACCGCTCGCCGCCGTCCGCCGTCGCTCGCCCTCGCATGCGACGAGCCGCCGCACCCCGTCCGTCCCGCTCAGTGCTGCCCCTTGATCGGCGTCTGCGGCTCGAGCTGGCCGAGGATGTGCGACGGGATGGCCGCTCGCGGGACGGGCGACACTGGGTACTCGAGGTCCTGGATGGCCTGCGGGGCGGGGCACGGGGTCGGCGAGAGGTGTCAGTGAGGCTGCGAGTAGGAGGGCGAGAGAGGGAGAGAAGGGAGGGAGAGGGACGCACCTCGTACGGGACCGAGGTAAAGAGGGCCGAGACGGACTCGCCGTAGTGGCTGCGACGGCTGTGCGAGGCAAAGACAGGTCGGTCAGGTGCACGGTCCAGGCGGTACGAGCAACCACGAGCGCAGCACAGCTGGCCCTCGTGCGCGCGTGACGTAGAGAGAGAGCGACCCGGACGCACACAGCCTCGGCGAGGACGTGCGACACGTCGAGCACGCGCAGGATCTTGCACTGGGCCTTGTGGCGGTCCTGCGGGATCGAGTTGGTGACAAACAGCTTGGTGATGACGGACCCGGCGAGGTTGTCGAGGGCCTTGCCGCTGAGGATGCCGTGCGTGACGAGGGCGTAGACCTGCTTTGCGCCGCCGGCGAGCAGGTGCTTGGCCGCCATGACGAGCGTGCCGCACGTGTCGGCCATGTCGTCGATCAGGATCGCCGTCTTGCCCTCGACGTTGCCGACGAGCACCATGCGCGCAATCTCGTTGGCCTTTTTGCGCTCCTTGTGGAACAGGGCGAAATCGAGGTCGAGCGAGGCCGCCATCGACGACGCGCTGCGGGCGACGGGTTCGTCGTGAGTCACGACGTGGCCGACTACCGCGTCGCACACCGGCATGACCGCCGAGCGACACCGAGGCAAGAGGACGGTCGACTCACCGCTTGGCTCCTCCCGCATCAGGCGAGACGATGACGGCGTTCTTGATCTCCTTGCCCATCGTGTCGCGCAGGTACTGCAGCATGGTCGGCTCGGCGTACAGCTGCGAGGGCACGAAACGGGCGAGGAGGTCAGTCGGGAAAAGGGGGGGGGGGGGGAGGGGAAAGGGGGACTCGGCGACGCACGCTGCGGGGAGGTGAGGGTCAGCTCTGCTCGAGAGTGCGCGCGAGAGAGAGGGAAAGGAGGGGGCGCACTTGTCGACCGGGATGTCGAAGAAGCCCTGGATCTGGCTCGCGTGCAGGTCCATGGTCTGCAGCCGGGCGGGACGGCGGAAGACGGCTCGTCAGTCCGGCGCCTCTCGCTCGGTCGGACTGCGAGGACAAGAGCAGGGGGGGAGACGCACAATGACGTGGTCGATGCCGGCACCGCGCACGAGCATGTTGGCGATGAGCTTTGCCGTAATCGGCGCGCGCGACTTGTCCTTCTTGTCTTGCCGCGCGTAGGGGAAGTGCGGCCTGCGACGGGGTGCTTGCGCCGTCAGCTCGCACTTCCTTCTGGGCCCGGGTATCGAGATGCGAGAGCGAGGACGCACACGACGGCGGTGATGCGGCGAGCCGAGGCTATCCGGAGCGTGTGCGCCATGATGCAGAGCCTGCGGGAGAGCACGAGGATTAAGTCTACGGCTCGACGAGGTGGACAGGTCGGTCGAGGGAGTAGGGACGCACTCCATCAATGCGCCGTTGGTGCTCGTCTCGTCACCACTCGCGGTCGCGACAATGTAGACATCGGCCTCGCGGACCGACTCGTGGAAGGTGACGCTGCGCAGGGGGGTGCAGGTGTCGTCAGCTCACTCGTACGTGCAGCTGCACTCTCCTGGCGAGCCGACGAGGCGAGGGAGGGTCGGATGCGCGGGGAAGAGCGGGCGAACGGAAGGACGGGGAGGGACCGAGGGCGAGTCGGACGAGAGGGGACTCACGAGAGCTCGCCAGAGGGGAGGGTGACGATGCTCGAGCTGCCGAGGGTAGATCCGAGGCGCCTGGCGATGAGCTGCGCCAGTTGCGGGTGCGAGGTGCCTGCGAGCAAGCAACCACGAGCGATGAGCTCTCGTCGGTCGAGGGCTACGTCGCGCGCCAGGGCAAAAGAGGGGGCGCACCGCTGAAGATCTTGATGGTGTCGTTGGTCGGCATGGCTGGCAGGGACGAGGCAGGCGCGCAAGCAGGGCGGCTGGACCGGGCGAGAGGGTGCGCCGAGCTCTCTCTCTGCTCCGCCGCGGCCAAGTCCCGCAGGACGCTCGCGGACCGGCCGGGCTTGCACCCTCTCTCGCTCCCTTATCTCACTCGCTCTCGCTTCTTCTGCTTCGTCTCTCGCCAAACGCCCCGCCATCTCGCAGTCAGCCAGAGCTCGGCGCCGCGCCGCTCACGTCCACGCGCACGAGCCGACCGCCTTCCCGCCCCGAGAGCTGTGCATGCCCTCTCTCGCTTGCATGCTGCCGTCGTCCTCAGTCGAGAGAACTCGCGACGAGCCAAGCGGTGCGAGGCGAGCGCGAGAGACCGGCCCAGGCGCGCGCGCGGGTCGCAACCGCGGCTTGACCGCTCGTGCGCCGACAGCGTCGCCCGCGAGCACGAGCGGTGACGCCTGCGCGGAGCACCGCTGCTCGAGCTTCAGCAAAACGGAGAGATGGGCGGCAAAAGCGCTGAGCGTGCGCCGGGCCGCAGAGAGCGAGAGTCGAGGGCCAGCAGGCGCAAGAAGCGCGCCGAGTGAGAGCCGGGCGAGCGTGCGCTCGCTGAAGCAGCTGTGGGGGCAGATACGAGAGCTTGCTTGTCGTCCTGTGGCGAGGCGTGCGCTCTTGATGGCCGCGCTGCGCCTGGATCGGCTGCCGCGCCCGGGTCGACGAGCAGAGCGGCACCGCGCGTGACCGGCACCTCCTCGGCCGCCCGACGCGTGACAGAGCGGCGTAGCTGATACCATGTGGATCCGACTGCGTGAGTCGAACTGGGCACAGAGCGTGATGTGGTGGCGCCAGAGGCTCATCAACAGCGGGGAGGAGAGTCGGCGACAGCTCGAGCCAGCGTCGTTGCGAGGCCGAGGTAGGGGCGGCGACCAGAGCTCGCGAGGTAGCTCGACCGGGTGGAGCAGTCCAAGGGACCGCTAGTCGAGAGCGGCGGTGCATGCTGGAGAGAGAGCCGGACCTGAGCTTGGCTGGGGGGTTGGCTCCGACCCGCACCAGCTGCTCCTCGTTCTCCCGCCAGGCAGGACCAGACAGCTTACCGTCATGGACTTCTACCACCGGTGCGTCGCCCCGTCCCACCCTCCTCCACGCCCGCCTCACTGACCCCTCCTCTCCCTCTCCCCCCTCCCTCAACCTCCGCCGCGCCGCTCGTCCTCGACCGCAGCGCCGGCCTGATCCTCGATGCGCTCGACAACAAGAAGGGCTCGGTCAAGGGCCTGTGCATGGCCGAGGCCAACAAGGGCCGCAAGGTCGGCGAGGGAGCTCGCTTCCTCAAGGTCGTGATCGAGTGCCTCAAGTGTGAGCTCTCGCCGCCCTCCTGTCGCTCAGCTGTCCTTCACGACATCTGAGCTTGTTCTTGTAGGACGCGACGACTGACTCACGCCCACTCCACAGACCGCCCGCACATCCAGCACCTCCTCGCCGCGACCAAGCTCCTCGCGCAAGAGCCGACCCTGTTCGTCCCGCCGTCGTCGACCGCGTCCGTCACCAACGCGCTCAAGTCGGGCTCGGCCGCGTCGGCCAATAAGGCGCTCAAGACGCCCAAGAAGCACGTCAAGGCGGCCCCGACCCCGGACAGCCTCGCGACCGTCATGCTCCACGACCTCCTGTTCGCCAAGCGCGGCTTGACGCTCCCCAAGGAGCACAAAGTCCGCAAGAAGCTCGAAAAGTACAAGTCTGCGTGAGTCCCGTGTCCCCTCGTCTCGTGCTCGACGCGTTCGAGCGCGTCGGGTGCGTTCTTGCAGTTGGTGAAGTGCTCACCGTTTCCCCTCTGCGCACAGACTCGAGAAGGAGAACGAGCGCGAGAAGCGTCGCCGCAAGGTGGGCACGAACGAGGGCCTCCAGATCCCGCTCCCGGACAAGGTCGCGTCGTCGCTCGAGGGCATCGGCAAGGGCAAGAAGCGCGCGCACGACGTCGACCGGTTCGCCGAGGAGGGCGGCAGCGAGGGCATCATTGGCGAGATCCGCTGGATGCGCGTCAACACGCTGCGGTGGAGCGTCGAGGCGGCCGTCGAGTGGTTCGAGAAGGGCGGGTGGGAGATGTTCGAGGAGGTCGAGGAGATGCTCGCCGCTGCGTGCGTCCCTCTCCCTTCTCTCTCTGTCTCTCTCTCTGCAACGCGCTTCTGGTACAGGACACTGACTCGATCCTAGATACCCTCGTGCGCAGCCAGAGCAAGCCCAAGGTGTTCGCCCTCGACGCCCACATCGAGCCGCTGCTCGCCCTCCCCGCGGCCGTCTCGCTCCCGACCATCTCGGCGTACCAGGACGGCCGCCTCCTCGCGCAGGACAAGGCGTCGTGCATGCCCGCCTGGGTCCTCCTCACGCCGGCGCTCGCCGACGCCGAGGACCGCGCCGCCGCACGTGCCGCGGGCGAGATCGGGCCCGACGAGGACCTGCCCAAGCGCGGCAAGGGCCTGCGCGTCCTCGACGCGACGGCGGCGCCGGGCAACAAGACGACCATGGCGGCGGCGCTCATCGCCGGCGACGAGATCAACGGCAAGGTGACGGCGTGCGAGAGGGACCAGGGCCGGTTCAAGGTGCTCAAGGACATGCTCAAGCGCGCCGACGCCAAGAGTGAGTCTGCGCTCGCCCTTTCACTTCTCTCTGCGTCTCTCCTCGGCGCGGCACGAAGAGTTTGTACAGGCGAACGGCGCTGACTCGCGCACTCGCCGCCTGCAGACGTCCAGCCGATGAACGTCGACTTCCTGTCGCTCAAGCCGGACGACCCCAAGCTCAAGAACGTGACCCACCTCCTCGTCGACCCGTCATGCTGTGCGTCTCGCCCGCTCTCGTCTCGAGCCTCTGCAGCCGGCACTGATTCTCGCCTGCCCCTCCCGCAGCCGGGTCCGGCATTCCCTCGCGCCTCGACCACCTCATCCCCTCGGCGCCCGAAGCCGAGCAGCTCGCGCGCATCAAGGCCCTGTCCAACTTCCAGATGGCCATCGTGTCGCACGCCCTGCGCTTCTCGGGCGCGGTCCGCGTCGTCTACTCGACGTGCAGCATCTGGGAGCAGGAGGACGAGCGCGTCGTCATGCGGGTCCTCGCCAAGAAGGAGTTCCGCGACATGGGCTGGAGGCTCGCGCCGAGGGACGAGGTCATGCCGACGTGGGAGAGGAGGGGTCGTGTCGCGGCGTGCGGCGGCGACGAGAGTGCGTCCTGGCTCCCTCTTCTTCCTCTCCTCCCTTCCCCCTTCCCTCTCCCTCGTCTCACGTCTCGAGACGCACCCGTGACTGACTCGGTACCTCGTGCGCCTGCAGCCATCGCCGACTCGGTCGTGCGCTGCCTCCCCGAGGACGGCACCAACGGCTTCTTTGTCGCCTGCTTCGTCAAGGACGAGAACGCGCCGCCGATCGAGGCGCCCGCCGGCGCCGACGAGGCGGCTCCCGCAGTCGACGACGAGGCGATCGACGTCGACGCCCTCGCCGTCGAGGTCGAGGAGGGCGAGGCGCCCGCAGCACCCGCAGCGGCGGCGGCCGCAGCGTCGGCCAAGTCGGCGCCGGCGCAGCTCAAGAAGGGCGGCAAGCAGGGCCGCAAGGCCAAGTCGGGCGCGACCATGGCGGCGCGCAACGCCAAGAGCGAGGTCCTCGGTCGTGCGCCCGCGCCGCCGGCTGCCCAAGTCGCCGCCGCCGCCGCCGCCGTTGTCGCCAAGGAGGCCGACGCTGCGCCCAAGGAGGGCGGCGCCGGTTCGGGCCCGAAGAAGCTCAGCAAGAAGCAGCTGTACTTGGCCAAGAAGGAGGAGATGAAGCGCAAGAAGGAGGCGGCGGCGACGAGCGGCGCCGACGAGTAGAACGAGGGGGGGGCAGCGAGTCGACGCGCGAGGAGCTTGTTGTACCGCCTCGTCGCTCCTTTTGCAACTCGACACATCGTGCACACGTCTCTCTGTCTCTCGTTGCCTGATCAGAGAGAGAGGAGAGCGCATCGGCGGGACAGAGTTGACGGTGTCGAACCGACTTGCGAAGGCCGACACGACGCTCGAGAGAAGAGGAAGCCGACGATTTTGCATCGGTTGAACGGCAGGGAACTACTCAAAAGATCGAGAGAGAGAGAGAGAAGAAGAGTTGAGCTTCAGGGTGAGCGGAAGAGAAGGGGGAGTGGGAGAGGGCGTGTCGGGAGCTCTAGGCGGCGACGGCGACCGGAGCGGCCGACGAGAGGACGCCGCCGGAGCTGCGAATCTCGTCCTGCTGCCTGGCCTGCGAGAGAGAGAAGAAGTTGGGAGTCAGTCGAGGGGCATTGAAGGAGGAGGAGGCGACAGAGGACGCGAGAGAGGAAGAGGAGGACGCACGAGCGCGACCTGGTTGGCCTCGGGGTCGACAGGCTGGGCCTCGTGCTCCCACTGGACGAACTCGTTCGTGTAGTTGGCCTCGAAGCCCTCGTCGCACACCTCGATGCGCTGGCAGTACTTGGTGACTTTGTGCCAGTCGCGCTCGACGTTGACGAGGTCGCGGCTCATGAACGGGTAGCAGCGCTCAAACATCTTGGCCCAGAAGTTGGGCTTGTCGTCGCCGACGCGGTTGCGGAACTGCTTCTTGACGTGCTGGAGGTCGAGCCACGCCTGGGCCGGGTCCTTGTGCAGGAGGTCGGCGCCACGCTTGAGGGCGCGCATGACGGCGGCAACCTTCTCCTTGTTGGCTGCGAGGAACTTGTCGTTGACGATGACGAGGATCGAGCAGAAGCAGCTGAGGAGAGAGGGCCGTCAGAGGTGAACCTGAAGAAAGGGAGGGAGAAGGACGGACCAGCAGCCGAGCTCGGCGAGCTCGTCGATGCGGATGAGCTTGACGTCCGAGGTGGGGCGGCCGACGCTCTGTGAGGCGGGGCGGGAGAGGGATGTGGAAGGAGTCAGGGCGCGCGCCTAGGGGGAGAAGGCGAGAGGGGGCCTGAGCGAAGGGAAAGCTCGTCGCACGTCGCACCACTGCTCGAGCTCGACGCCGTTGACGCTCTCGATCCCGACTCCCGCGTGAATGCGGCCGTCGATGAGGGCGCCGTTGATGTCCATGCCGCAGCGCACGAACTCGATGTCCTGGCCCTCGACGAGACCGTGCTTCTGCGCGAGCTCGAGGCACTGGATGCGGCCGAACTCGCCGACGTACTACAGGTGAGGAGCGTCAGGAAGTGTCGCAGGTGACGGCGAGACGTAGAGAGAGAAAGTGTGACGCACGCCGACGCGCTTGCCCTTGAGCGAGGTGAAGTGGTCCTTTTCGATGTCGTGCGGGTGGCCCTCGACGCCGCCCTTGAGGTAGAGCAGGCCCGTGAACGGCTGCGGGCGTAGAGATGGAGACCAGGGACCGTCAGTCGAGGCGCTCGAGGCCCGGGCCGACCGTCGAGAAGGTCGACCCGAGGAGGAAAAGCGAGAGGCAAAAGCGAGGATGTGGAGCGCGAGCGCAGACGGACTACTCCCGACGCGAGCATTAACTCGATCCCGGTGGTGACGGTGTATCTCAGCCCGTCGTCGCGGCGCCTGCGCTGCTGAACAACCCCGAGTCACCGTCCGCCCGCTCGCCGCACGCCTCGGACGGAGCCGAGACGCCGACGCAACGGGGCTAGGCGCAAGGGGAGCAGAGTGCGGGCGCCACGACATCAGGACACCCGTGTAGTTGGCCGTGAGGCTGGCCCAGACCCAGACCTGCTCCTTGAGAGACGAGGCGGGAGGGAGTCGAGGAGGACGGACCTTGGCGACGAGAGGTCGTCCCGCACACGACGGCGGTCGAAGCGCACGAACACGAGCGTACGATGCTCGAAGAAGAAGAGGAACGATGCCGAGGTAGAGGCAGAGGAAAGGGAGGCGGTCAAACCTCGTCGAGGATCGTGCCGATGCTCGTCACGCCGAAGCCGCGCGCCTTGGCCGCCTGCGGTCGTCGAGGCAACCGAGTCAGGACATGCTCATACACGAGGGCGAAAGGATGCCGCACGATCGTGTGGACCATCGCTGTGGGAGAGAGGAGAGTCAGCAAGAGGCTCGACTCGTTCGCGACGACCACGACGACGACGAGACCAAGGGGCTCACCCTTGCAGCCCATGTCGACGGACCCACGACCTATGAGCTCGGTCACGTCCGAGGCGTCGTTGGGCTCGAGGATGGCGACCTTGACGCCCTCGTCCTTGAAGAAGCCGTGGTGCTGAGCGAGGAAGATCGGGGCGTGGTACGGCGTCGCGTGCCTGCGCGAGTAGTGCGAGTGTCAGTCCTTGACGCTCTCGTGCTCGCGGTGGCCGCAGAATGAGTACAGGTCGCGAGAGAAGAGAGGGGCGAGGACCACGGCGAGGTGACGACGACGAGGAGGAGCGTGCGGGGCTCACCAGTTGAGGAGGAACGAGATCGAGTCGGACGACATGGCTGCGGTGCTTGGTGCGGTAGTGCTCGTGGTGGTGGTGACGAGAACGAGAAGGTCGAAGCGGGTGGTGTAAGGAGAGCCAAGAGCGAAAGGCGGACAGAGTCAACGTGGGACCCTGCGAACGACAACCGAGCGACCCCGAACGGCCGCAGCGGTGCCCCCTTTTCTTTTGCTCGTCAGCAAACATCGAGCGGCGCGCGCAAAGAGCACGAGAAGCGCGCGAGAGGACGTCGAGAAAAGCGAGCGAACGCAACTTGAGAAGGTCAAAGCGGCGCAGCTGGGCGCAGCGCGAGTCGCCGACACGAGCCCGAGGGTGGACGGAGCTGAACGGGCGGAAGTCGACGGGAAGCGCACCTCTCGCAACGGAGGAGGCGGTCGACGTAGCAAACGCAGGCGCGCAAGCGAGGTCTACCAACCCCTCATGCCGCCTCCTCGCCCACCTCCTCCACCGCGCCCGCCCGACCCGCCCTTCATGCGCCCCGACCCCTTGTAGATGATTCCGCCCTGCGCGACAATGTCGCGCTCGTACTGCTCCCTCCTCTCCCGCGCCTCCTTCGCGCGCTCCTCGGCCACCCGGCGCTCGTCCTCGGCCCGCTGCGCCGCCTCGCGCGCCTCGTCCGCCGCACGCGCCTGCTGCAAGGTGACCTCGTCGGCGCCGAGCTCGGGCGCTGCTGCGGCGTCGCCGTCGCCGTCGCCGGGGCCGGGTGCCGCCGAGCCCGACCGAGAGCGAGAGCGCGAGCGCGAGTGGCGCCGCTTCTTGGACGACGACGACTTGTGGTGGTGGTGGTGGTGCCGCGAGCTGCGGTGCCTCCTTGACGACGAGCTCTTGCCCTTGCTCCTGCTCTTGCTCTTGTGGCGGCGCTCGCCGTCGCTGTCCTCGGACCCGCTCTCATCGTCGTCCGAGTCGTGCCGCCGGCTGTGGGACCGCGACGAGCGCTTGAAGCGGCGGCGGTCGGGCGAGAGAGAGCGCGAGCGGCTGCGGCTGCGGGAGCGCGAACGAGAGGACGACACGGAGGGGGACGGAGGTGGTGCGGGCTTGGCAGCTGGGGGGAGGAAGGGTGGGTCAGGACGTGTCGAACTGCAAGACAGGCTCGCGACGACGGCAGCGACCCGTCAAGAGAGAGGAACAGCCCGACGCACCGGATTTGCGCTCGAGCTCGCCGCAGTGCGAGATGGTGATGAGCGACACGGGCCGGTCCTTGTCGTCGACGGGCATCTTGCTGATGGCGACGATCGTCTCGTAGCCCTTGACGACCTTGCCGAATACGACGTGCTTGCCCGCCAAGTGCGGGCACGGGCGCAGCGAGACGAAGAACTGCGAGCCGTTGGTGCTGCAGGGAGGAACGAGGGCGGCGTCAGGAAGGGACGGGGGCGGCGAGGGAGGGAGGAGAGGGACGCACTTCTTGCCGCGGTTGGCCATGCACAGGAGGCCCTCCTCGTCAATCTCGCGCTTGAGGCTCTCGTCCTCGAACGTACCGCCGTAGATGCTCTGCGTGTCTCAACCCCACCGTTCAAGGTCAGCGCGCGTCTCGAGGCGCAGGCCGACCAGGACCAAGAGGGCGAGTGCGCACCTCGCCGCCCTTGCCATTGCGCTGCGTAAAGTCGCCGCCTTGGACCATGAAGCTGTCGACCCAGGGGAGCAAGAGTCAATGTCGTGCGACGGCGGCGGGGGAGGAGGGCGGGGGGAAGAGAGAGGACGAGGAGACGCACCCAGCGATGACACGGTGCAGGATCGAGCCCTTGTACCACAGCGGGATCCCGAGCTCGTTGACGCCCTTGGCGCCCGTGCACAGGGCGCGGAAGTTGGCGCACGTCTTTGGGACGACATGGTCGAACAGCTCAAAGACGACGCGGCCGAGAGGCTCGCCCTCGACGGCAAAGTCGAGGAAGGGACGAGACGTGGTGCTCATGCTTGCGGTGGTGCTCGGGCTGGGTCCGGCGCCGTCAGGCAGGGTCGACGCGGGCGAGGTCGGGTGGGAGATGGGCGGGGACGAGATGAAGGCAAGGGAGGACGAGGGCGATTGGGCGGTGCGCGTCGAAGTGGTCAGGCCGGCTAATGCGATACGGCTGCAGTGCTGGGCCGCTCAAGCTGGTCCTCGCAGTTCGCGGTGTCGAGTTGAGGGACAAGCGAGCGAGGGGCCGACTCGACTTCGAGGTTGCTCTCCCACCTCGCCACCGCTCTCCCGGCTGGAGCCAGGCTGCTTGTGTCTGCTTCTGCATCTGCCTTTAACTAGATGGGCGCAAACGCTTCTACGTCCAAGGGAGGAGGAGCGCCAGGCAGGGACCTCGACCACTACGAGGGTGCGTCCTCTGCTCTCTTCCCAGCCCCTCGTCGAGCACGAGCGCACGTAGAGCTGACTCTGATGCACCCACAGTGCTCGGTGTCGAAGCGTTCGCGACCCAGGACGAGATCAAGAAGGCGTGAGCTCTCCCTCCCTCTCGCACCTCGTCTCGCAGCCAGTCGGGCTCTCGTCGAGCACCGAGGGTTGCTGCGTGGACGCGGACACGACAACAAGGAAGCTGAAGGACCCTCGCCGCCTCGCAGGTTCCGCAAAGCCGCCCTCAAGGAGCATCCGGACAAGAACCCGAACGACGTCGAGGGCGCGACGCAGCGCTTTGCCCGTATCCAGGCCGCGTGGGAGTGCCTCAGCGACCCGCAGGAGCGAGCATGGTACGACGACCATCGCGAGGACATCAATGACTCGGGCGCAGGCGGTGCGCTCCCTCTCGCCCGTCTTCCCTCGAGAGCTCGCAAGTGACTCTTTCCTCGACGACGCACAGCCACCGAGGCCGACGCCTCCTTCTTCGACAACCTTCGTCGTGCCACGGCCAAGCCCGCCGCACGTGCGACGCCCGGTCGCGGCCTCCAGACGCCGCACCTCATGAAGTTCTTCTCGACGTCGGCCTGGACCGGGTTCGACGAGTCGCCGACGGGCTTCTTCAACACGTTCGCGACCCTGTTCTCGCTCCTCGGCGGCGAGGAGACGGCGTGGTCGTCGCCGCACCTGTACCCGGCGTTCGGCACCAAGCAGTCGCCGCCGGACGACGTGCGCGCGTTCTACGCCGCCTGGATCAACTTTGCGACCGAGAAGGACTTTGGGTGGAAGGACTCGTACAAGGTCGACGACGACATGCCGAGGTGGCAGAGGCGCGAGATCGACAAGGAGAACTCGAGGGCGAGGACCGCCGCCAAGCGCGAGTACAACGAGGCCGTGCGGGTCCGTCTCGCTCCCTCTCTGTCTCGCTCTCTTCGGCGCACCGCCGAGAACCCGCACTGACCCTCGCGCACCCTCTGTCTCGCAGGCCCTCGTCTTCTACGTCCGCCGCCGCGACCCGCGCTTCCAGTCGCTCACGTCGTCGACCGCGCGCGCCGCCGCCGAGGCCGAGACGCGCGCCGCGCTCGCCGCCGCCGCCAAGCAGCGTGCCGCCGAGCGCGAGGCGGCCGCTGCGCGGTACGCGGCGCAGGACTGGCAGTCGGGCGGCGTCGACGCGGTGCACCGCATGTGGGAGGAGGAGAGCGACGAGGAGGGCGAGGGGGGCGAAGAGGGCGAGGACGAGGTCGTGTGGTGTGAGGCGTGCGGGAGGGGGTACAGGAGCGGTGGGGCGTGGGAGAACCACGAGCGGAGCAGGAAGCATGGCAAGAACGTCGAGCGGTGCGTCCCTCTGTTTCTCTCTCTTGGTCGCGTCCTCGCCCTCTCGCCGCGCAAAACTCACCTCTTCCTCTCTCTCTCCCCCTCTCTCTCTCTCGTACGCAGACTCGTCAAGGAGATGCAGCTCGAGGACGCCGCCCTCGGCCTCGACTCGGAGCCGCCAACCGCTTTCGCCACCGCCCAAGCCTCCCCTCCCTCGTCCGCCACCGCCGTCGCGCCCACCGCCGCAGACGCCGCCGCCCTCGCCGACTCGCTCGCGTCCTTCTCCGTCGACGGCGACGGCGACGGCTCGGACTCGCTCCTCGACGATGACGACGACGACCTCGAGGTCGACCCGCCCGCCGCCACCACCGCCGCCGTCCCCGCCAAGAGCAAGAAGAAGCCGCGCCGCCGCGGCCCGCCCGCCGTCGTGCCGGGCCTCGACGACCTGTCCGACTCGGCGTCGGAGCCCCGTGAGCCTGCGCGAGCGCCCGAGCGCGAGGCCGAGGACGGCGCCGCGTCGAGCTCCGGCCGCGCCGCCGGCGCCGGCGGCAAGAAGAAGGGCAAGAAGGCGGCGCGGCGCAAGGGCGTAATCGATGTCGCACTCGAGCTCGACCTGGAGCAGGACGGCGACGGGCTCGCGGCGTCGGCGGCGGCGGCGGCGGCGGGGCCGGGGCTGGGGCTGGGGCTCGGCACGCCGCTCGACAGCAGCGACGAAGAGTGGCGCGCTGGCGGGGGCGGCAAGGGTGGCAAGGGGAAGAAGGGCCGCAAGGGCAAGGGAGGAGGGGGAGCGGCGAGTGCCGGTGCGGGTGGAGCGGCGACGCGGAGCGGGACGGCGAGCGGGGCAGCGACGCCGGCGCCGGCGGCGCAGGACGTCGAGGCAGATGGCGGTCGGCGTGCACAGGGAGGCGTCGACGATGACGGTGAGGAGGACGGGCCGGGCATGAGCAAGAAGGACAAGCGGCGGGCCAAGGAGGCGGCGAGGAAGGCTGGCGGTGCAGGGGCCGACACGGTGCGTCCCTCGCGCTCTCTCTCTCCCCCTCTCTCCCTCGTGCTCGCGACCGAGCGCACTCACTGGTACTGTGCCCTCACGACTCGCATGCGCGCCTGCAGGTCTGCAACGTCTGCAGCGAGCCGTTCGCATCGCGCACTAAGCTGTTCCAGCACATCGCCGACACGGGCCACGCGCTCGCCGAGAGCGGCGGCGGCGGGACGTCGAGCGGGAAGGCGAGCAAGAAGAAGGGCAGGCGGTGACGAGCGCCGCTGCTCCCTGTAGCGGGGCAGGCCGGAGGGAGGAGCGTTCGAGGTCGTGGGAAACGAGGACGAGTCGGCCGACACGCAGCTCGAGCCCGAACCGAGAGTCCCGACCGCTGTGCTGCACCGTCCCGAGGCCATCATGAGCTCATTGTCGCCTGCGGGAAGCGCGCACAAGTGTCGCCGAAGCACTCGAGCGGGTCGACCTTCCTCAGCCGGTGTGGGCGGGAAGCTTCTCGGCACACGCGCGCGGCTCGTGCGTCGGCCCACGGCGCACCAGCGCGCATTTGCGCTGCGAGATTGCCGCGCAGCGTGCAAGGGCTCGGGGAGGCTGGCAGCGTGTGCCCCGTTCGCGAGGACGACCGCTGAGTTTCGGAGAGGTACGAGCGCTCGAAGGGGGAGCGAGGAGAGGTGGGCGGTCGGGGGAGGGAGCCGAGCCAGCTAACTTATGCGCAGGACGAGCGGGAGCTTGCGAGCCTGCGCGGAAGAGGTCTTGGGCACGGCGTGGGAGGGAAGGGCGCCGGCGAGGCGTTCTGGGCAAGAGCGTGGTGAGACAGCGGAGACGAGGGAGGAGGAGGGAGGAGCGTCGACGCCTCTGTCCGCTCACCACCCCGCCCAGCTCGCAGCGAGTGCAGCCAGCTTGCACGCTCAGAGCTAGCTCCCGCCACACCTCGCAGCCCGACCCGCCGCAAGCACGCGCAGAGCGCCCGCCTCTCCCTCAACTCCGCCCCTCTCGTCCTCGGTGCCTGGGTGAGCACCCTTCTCGCTCGTCTCACACGCCCAGTCGACGGCGGTACGGCCGACGAGCAGTGTGACTGACTGTCCTGCACCACCTGTGTGGCCCCTGCGAGCAGCGCGTCGCCGTTGTCGTCCCTCGCCTCCTCCCTCCCCCTCTCGACCTCTCGGCTCGACTCAGCGACTCGAGATCCTCCAACCTCTGTCCTCGTCCAGCCTCGTTCAGCACCTCGACCAGCAGCCACAGCCACCCGCCATGGCCTGCTAAACGACCCAGCGACCCGCATCGCAACCCCCTGTCGCCGTCCGTCGCCACACGAGTGCCCACTCAGCTCCCTCCCCCGCTCCGCCACACCACCTTCGACTCGTTTCACCTGCAACCTCGTTTCGCCAACTCGCACCTCCTTCTGCATCCTTCTCAGCACCTCGTCTTTCATCCGCAACTCGACCACCCACGCCATGCGCGACTCGAACTTCAACTTCCCCGCCCTCGGCCGCGCGTGCATCTGCGTCTCGTCGGGCATCTACGACCGCAGGGGTGCGTCGACCGTCCTCTCCCTTTCTCGGGCGTGCAGCAGGGCGGGCTGTGTTGGAACAGGTCTAGCGAGATGTCGAGCGAGGAGGCGGTCACGAGCTGCTTAGAGCAGCGGGCGGGACTCGAGGGCGACGGCGACGCACGACGAGCGGGCGTGCCGTTCAGCAGGTCCCGCACGGCACAGAGCGTCAGACTAACAGCGCGACCCCCCTCCCTGCAGCGCTCGACGCACCGCCCGGGTCGTTGCCCCTCATCAACTCGCTCACGCACCTCACCTACCTCACGGCCACGTCGCCTCGAGTGCGCGACATCATCTCGCACGACGGCGGCCTCGAGCGCCTCGTTCGCGTCCTGCAGCACTGCGCGCGAGGCGGGCCCGCCGGCGCCGTCCCTGCGTCGCTCGCCGAGCTCAAGGGCAAGGGCAAGGGCAAGGCGCGCGCGCTCCCCCGCGTCGTGCGCAAGAGCCCGTTCAGGGCGTTTGCCGACTACGACCTGCTGCCGACCGCCGTCGAGATGGTCGGCATCGAGGACACGGACGTCGACGGGTCGCTCCTCGCCAAGAACGCCGCGGGCACGTCGGGCCCGCTCGACGACTTTACCTACTCGATCCCGGCGTCGCTCCTCCTCCCGGCCTCGTCGACCGCCAAGCACCTCCTGTACACGTACTCGCTCGCGTTCCAGTGCATCGTCAACATCGGCGTCCGCGGCAGCGAGGCGATCCGCACGCGCGTCGTCGAGGCCGGCGCGCTCGACGTCGTCGTCTTTGTCCTCGAGCGGTACCTCGAGGACGTGCAGCGCAAGCGCCAGCAGAACCAGGCCGACTGGGTTCGCGGCGGCGGCGGCGGCGGCGCGGGCAGCAGTCGGGGCGAGCGACGACGTGAGGCCCAGCCTTGGGCGGGCGACGAGCTCGCGCCTGCGGCTGCGCAGGCCGGCGCAGCTCCCGTGCAGCGCGCCGTCGCGCCGCACGACGCTCGCAGGCTCGACCGCCTCGTCGTGCCCGCGTCGAACAGCTCGTCGCCGGCGTCGACCGCGCCCGTGTCGCCCGTCCCTCCCGCCTCGCCCTCGGGCGCTCACGCCCTCCCGCACATCGCCGTCCCGCCCTCGGCCATCTCGCGCCCGCTCCTCACGCGCCTCAACGTGGTCGCCGCGTCGTCGGCCGCCGCGTCGACGCCTGCTGGCGTCCTGCGCCCGCCGAACAGGGTGCGCACGCCCGACACCGAGGCGTCGTCGTTGACGGGCGACGAGAACGGCTCGGCGTCGGGCCAGGAGCAGGATGGCGACGAGGTCATGGTCGTCGCGACGTCGGTCGCGACGTCGTCGTCGTCGGCGGCGGCCGTCGCGCCTGCCTCGGTCCCGCTCGCCGAGGTCGTCAAGGCCGTCAACAACGCCGCCTCGTCGCCCGCGCCGACGCCCTCGTCTGCGCCCGCACGGCAAGACGCCGAGGGCGACGTCGTCATGGACGACGGCTCGTCGACGCCCGAGCAGCCCGAGTCGCGCGCCTCGCCGCAGCCTCACCCGCAGCAGCAGCGCTCGAGGCCGCCTTTCCCGCGCGCCCACACGATGCCGCAGCCGCTCCCGCGCATGTCGACCTCGCCTGTCGCAGCCGCACCGGCTCCCGCGTCGGCCACGCCGAGCGCTCCGGCGCCGACGACCGAGGACGACGGCGCGCTCCACTTCCGCGACGAGGACATTCTCCTGTCGCTCCAGCTCCTCGCGTACCTGAGCAAGTACCCGCACGTGCGGTCGCTGTTTCACGCCCCGTCGGCCGCCCTCGTCGCCTCGGCGTCGACGCGCCTGGGCTCCGCCACGCACGGACCTGCGTCCTCGTCCTCGTCCTCGACCTCGACCGCCGCCGCCGCCGCCTCGTCCGCGCGCCGCGCGCCCCTCCCGCCGACCAATATCTTCTCGCTCGTCGAGTCGTTCACGTACCGCCCGCCGGCCGACGACCCGTTCACGCCCCGTCACCCGACCGAGGTGCAGTACTGGGCCGGCGTCATCATGCGCAACGCGTGCCGCAAGGACGAGGCGCAGGGCGGGATCCGCCAGTGCGCCAACATGCGCTGCGGCAAGTGGGAGGCGTACGCGCGCGAGTTTGCCAAGTGCAGGAGGTGCCGCAGGGCAAAGTATTGCTCCAAGACGGTGCGTCTCGGCCTCTCCCTCTCTGTCCTGCCCCTTCGAGAGCGCCGACTGACTACTCTTGTTCGTGCCCTGCAGTGCCAGTCCGAGGCGTGGAACCAGGGCCACCGCTATTGGTGCCACAAGGTCGCCTCGCGTCGCAGCGGCGGCGGCGGCGGCGAGCCGGGCAGTGCCGCCTCGGCGCACGGTCACGGCCACCACCACGGACACGGCCACTCGCACGCGCACGACCGCACCGCCGTACTCGCCGGCGCCGCAGCCGCCGCGAACGGCAGCGGCAACGACTCGGGCGCGTCGGGCTCGTCGGCCCCTGCGTCCCCGACGACGGGCGGCATAGCGACGCCGACCGGCCCCGTGCACGTGCCCTCGGCAGCAGGCGCCGGCGCTCAGGTCGTGGGCACGCCCGCCGAGCTGTTCAATCTCGTGCCGCCTGTCCCGACGCCCGGCGCGCTCCGCCGTCGCCCGAGCCACACGACGGGCTCGCACGCGCACGCCCACCCGCGCCGGCACCCGCAGCAGCAGCCGCGTGGACGCGGCGGCGACGAGGACGACGAGGACGATGAGCTCCTCGATGACGACGAGGTCGAGGGGCAAGGTCCGGGCGCGCGCACGACGCCGCGCGCGTCGCAGCAGGGCGGGCAGGCGCTCCACCCGCACCCGCACCGTCACCACGCACACGGCGCGCAGACGCCTCCTAACGGCGGTGCGCAGGGCGCCGAAGCGCAGCAGCAGCGTGCTGGCGGCGCAGGCCCGTTCGGCGCGCTTGACGGCATGGGCATGTTTGAACTCGCCGGGTTCGGCGGCGTCGACGCCGCACAGGGTGTCGTCGCCATCGACGAGGACCAGGTCGCTCGCGACATGCTCGCCCTCGGTGGCGGCGAGGAGGGCGGCGCCGTCCGGGTGCAGGCCTGAAGGAGCGCAGGGGCTTCTCCCCTTTCCTTTCTCTCTTTCTCTTCCTTCTTGGCGGTTTCACACGGCTCGACGCGTCCTCTAGCATAGCAGATCTTGCCCTTCTCTTTCCTACACGTTCCGCATGCAGTACCTCCTCCCTCCCTTCCTCGTGTCGTCCCCTCCCTCCCCTCCCCTCCCCTCCCCTTTTCGCCTCGTTTGTGACCCTCCTTTCTCTCCTTGGCTCTCGGTCCTTGTCTGTGTCCGCTCTCACTGTCTGCAACATCGCGCTGTGCTCCTCGTCGTTGTCGTCGAGCAGTAGAGCGAGAGAGGTAGAGGAAAGTTGCGAGCACGAGCTCTACAGCCTGCTCGGCTTCTTGCGCTTCTTCTGGGGCTCGTCGATCGCCTCGACGACGACCGGCTCCTCGTGCTCCTCCTCCTTGACCTGCGCCTCGGCATCGCTTGGCCCACCTGCGCTCGCCTCGTTCCTGCGACCCTTCCTCCCACCGCCGCGCCTCCCGCCCGTCCTCCCACCACCTCCTCCTCCTCCCTCGGCCGCCCTGCGCTCTCCTCCACCCATGCCCGGCGCCTTGAGCAACGCGACCGTGCCGCCAGCGGCGTGCCTCGCCGCCTTGCGCGTCGCCTCGGGCACGCTGGCCCAGTACTTGCGCTCGGCGTCGCCCTCGAGGAGCGAGGCGGCGAGCGGGCGGCGCAGGTCCGACTCGGCGGCGGTGCGCGACGAGGGCGAGAGGGAACCGAGGGGTGAGAGGGCTGTCGGGGAGAGGTGCAGGGACGGCGTGGACGTAAGGTGGTCGAGGACGAGGGAGGCGAGGGTCGGCGACGAGAAGCGTAGGTAGCACTGCGGGCGGGTGCAAAATCTGTCAGGGCGCGCTCTCGGAGAGAGAGAGAGAGCGAGAGGGGCAAGAACTGCAAGCGCACCGTGTCGAGGCCCTTCTCGTAGTCGACAAACTCGACGCCCTTGCCACTGCCCTCCTGGAGCGTCTCGAGCAGCGCGCCAAAGAGCGCCTTGAGGCTCGTGCGGCCGCTCTTCTCGTGCACGTTGCGCACCCACAGGACGCACGCGGCCGGGAACGCGCCGGCGACCTCTAGCGCCGCGTCCGACGACAGGTCGAGCCCGGGCGAGGGCGTGCGCAGCCGCTTGAGGCGCTGGTTGAGGACGGCGGTCGGCGACGGGGCGCCCCGAGGGCGCTTGGCGGCGGTGGTGGTGGAAGAGGTCGAGGGCCCGGTGGTGGGCGTCGAGCCGAGGCGGACGTCGCCGTCAAACGCGGGCGAGGTGGGCGACGCGGCGCGCTTGCCCGAGCGCCGACTTGACGACGACGGCGGGTCGCGCGCTCCGCCGCCGCCGCCGCCGTGCTGCCGCGCGAGGTGAGGCGGCTGGTCTCGCTTGGTCGGCGGGTTGCGCAGGGCGGCGAGCGTGCCCTCGTGCTGCGCCTCGACGAGCGTCTCGACTGAGCGGCGGTACGCGAGGTACTCGTCCTTGAGCCGCAGCCAGCCGTCACTGCGGGCGCACGGGGCTAGGAGTCAGTCTTGAGACGCGAGAGAAGAATAGTGAGAGCGAGGGGACGCACTAGCTGAGCGCCCTCATGCCGGCGAACCGGGCCCTCGCTGCGCAGTCGAGCTTGCCCGTCTTGACCTCGCTCGACACCTTGCCCGCACCATCTCCTTCTCCGTCCAGCCCAGCCTCGGTCATCTCGGCGTCTTCCGCCCCTTCCTGCGCCGCACCGCCACCGCCATCGCCTTCTCCCTCGTCTCGTCCTTCCTCGCCCGCTTCCCCCGCAGCACCCACCTCGTCCCGCTCGTCCTCCCACACCCACTCGCGCACGACCCGCTCGGCCTCGTCCCCGCTCGGCAGCACGACGAACGCGAACCCCTTGAACGGGCCGCCGCCCTTGGGCAGCGCTCTCGCGCGCCTGCTGCGGCCCAGCTGCGCGTCCTGCGCCGCGCGGAACGCGTCCGCCTGGCTCGACTCGCCGCCGCCGCCGCCGCCGCCGCCGCCGCCGCCGGACGACGACGAGCCGAGCGGGTCGAGCGCGAGCGGGTGCGCGCGGTCGAACATGGGCGGGACGATGACGCGCTGCGGGACGGTCGAGAGGGCCGAGGCGAGGAAGGTCGTGAGCGAGCTGTCGCCGGCGGCCATGCTGAACGGGATGTTCTCCTGCGTCCTCATGCTTCTCGCGTCAGTACCGAGTCTGTGCGTGGCGCGCAGGAAAGTGTACGAAGGAAGAGAGGGCGGACGCACGAGGTAGATGACCGTGTCGTCCCAGTCGGCCGCCTCGAGCTGCTCGAGCCGCTGCACGTCTGGCGCCACCTTGCGCCCGACCTGGAAGCCCGACTCGTCGATCTGCGGGTCGTGTCGTGCGCGGCGAGCAGGTCAGTGTCGGTGCGGCAATCTCGACAGCTCGTCGGAGCGCTCGACACAAGAGAATGAGAGGGAGTGGGGCGCACCTTGACGATGGGCGAGTCGCGCAGCCGCAGCGCCTTTTGCAGGTCGGCCTGGCTGCCCGTGAGGGCGCGGACGGGCGGGAGCGTGAGGATCTGGCTGATGTGGAGCGCTGCGAGGAGGGGGCGAGAGGAGGGGGAGGTTTCGAGAGGTCAGCTTGCTGTCGCGCACGGGGAGGCGCTGCCGCCGACACGCCTCGGACAGGGCTCGAGAGACGACAGAGAGAGGCCGACGCACACTCCCTGCCCTCCTTGAACCGCTCGAGGAGCCCTCCACCGCCTCGTTGGCCTCCCGCACCGCGGTGGACCGACAGGCCAAAGTCGCTCAGGGCCGTCTCGACGGCGCACAGGATCGCCTCGAGGCGGTCGCGCTCGTGCTGGCTGAGCTTGGGCGGCTCTGCGGGTTTGAGTGGGGCGGCGAGAGGTGCCGGGACAGGCGGGGCGGACGCGGCGGCGGCGGTGAGCAGGGAGGGCGAGTCGGACTTGGCGGGGACGGCGGGCGCGCCCGACTTGGCGAGGAGCGCTGCTGCGCTCGGTCGGGCGGGCGCAGCCTTGCGCTTGACGGCGCGCGGGACGAACGAGGGACCGGCGACGGCTCGAGCTGATGAGGACGCCGTGGGCGCAGCGGCGTCTGGGGCAGGCGTGTGGCTCGCGCCGAAGAGCGAGTCGGGCGTACCCTCGTCGTCGGCCATGCTCGTAGGTCGCTCGAGCGCGAGGCGAGGTGGTGCGAGCGCAAGAGGGACGGCGCCGACACTCACACGGCGAGGGCAACCTCGCGAAAGCTCCTCGACGGGGAGGCGCGCAAAGTACTGAAACTGCGGTGTATTTGCGAGCAGATAAGGACGCCGAGAGAGAGAGAAACAATCTACAAAAAGCCAGGCCCGCCGCCCTCCCTCGCTAACTCCCTCTGCCGCGACTACTCATCGTGTCCATCTGCGCTCAGAGCTTGGGCGCCTTGGCGAGGAACGACTCGGTGACCTTGCTGGCGATGTGGTCGAGGAACTCGAACGTGTTGACGTCTGCGCGGACAAGAGGTCGAGGAGGGGGGGGCACAGAGGAGGGAGGAGGAGGACAGGAGGGAAAGGAGAACAGGATGGGAAGGAAGAGGGCGAGAGGAAGAGGAGGAGAAAGGGATGGAGGGTAGGGGAGGGAGGGGCAAGGGTGGAGGAGAGGGCCCGAGCGTCAGTTCCCGGCGCCTGCTGAACTCGACGAGGCTCGGAGGGGGAGGGGGAGGGAGACGCACAGTGCTCCCGCGTCATGTTCTTGCCGTGGATCGAGAGGGCGAGGTCTGCGAGGGAGGACTCGGCGAGTTAGGGCCCGAGGCAGAAGAGGGAGACGGAGCGAGAGAGAGAGACGGGGCGGACTGACCCTTGGTCATGATGCCCTCCTTGTCGACAGCGTCGACGCACGCCTGCTCGAGGTCGCGCGCAAACTGGGTCAGGCGCGGGTTGTTGTCGCGCTTGCCCATAAAGATGAGGCCGCGCGTCCACGCAAAGATGCTCGCGATCGAGTTGGTGCTCGTCTCGCGCCCCTTCTGGTGCTCGCGGTAGTGGCGCGTCACGGTGCCGTGCGCCGCCTCGGACTCGATGACCGAGCCGTCGGGCGTCAGGAGCTCGGACGACATGAGGCCGAGCGAGCCAAAGCCCTGCGCGACAATGTCGCTCTGCACGTCGCCGTCGTAGTTCTTGAGCGCCATGATGTACCCGCCCGACGACTTGATCATCTGGGCGACCATCTGCGGGTGCGCAACGTCGAGAGAGTGAGTCGGTGCCCGTGCCCGTCTCGACAAGAAGGGAGGGGAGAGGGTCGGACGCACGTCGTCGATGAGGCGGTGCTCGTACCAGATGCCGAGCTTCTCAAACTCGGCCTTGTACTCGGCGTCGTAGATGGCCTGGAAGATGTCCTTCCACTGGCCGTCGTAGCCCTTGAGGATCGTGTTCTTGGTCGACAGGTACTGCGAGCGACGGCGGCGACAAGGTTCCGGGCAGCGTCAATCTCGAGGCTCACACCCACGAACGCACGGGAGGAGGATGAGGGAAGAGAGAGGGACGCACAAGAGGCAGCTTCTTCTCGATGGCGAGCTTGAACGACGACTGGGCAAAGTCGGTGATGGACTGCTTCGTGTTGTACATGGCGAGGCCGACGCCCGGGCCCTTGAAGTGGAACACCTCGAGGTTGGTCGCCTGCTTGGCCTTGTCGTCGGGCGTGTACACGAGCTCGAGCTTGCCCGCCTCGGGCACGACAATGTCGGTCGAGCGGTACTGGTCACCGAACGCGTGGCGGCCGACGATGATGGGCTTGGTCCATCCTGCGCGCGCGAGGTCGAGGACAGGTCAGTCGTGCGTCCGAGAGGCTCGAGCACCGGTTGGGAGGGGGACGCACCCGGGACGGCCTTGGGGACCTTCTCGACGATGATGGGCTCGCGGAAGACGGTGCCGCCGAGGATGTTGCGGATCGTGCCGTTGGGCGACTGCAGGGAGGACGATCGTCAGGCTCGACGCAACGGAAGGACGAGCCGCACGGGCGACGAGGGCGAAAGACCGCCCGAGTCCGAGGAGGACGAGGAGAACGAGGGACGGACCTTCCACATCTTCTTGAGGCCAAACTCCTCGACGCGCGCCTCGTCCGGCGTGATGGTCGCGCACTGTGTGACGGCACCGAGTCAGTCCGAGTGCGGATGGGCTCGGGCGAGGGAGAGGGAGGGGGGAGCGCACCTTGACGCCGACGCCGTACTTGAGGCACGCCTCGGCGGCATCAATCGTGACCTGGTCGTCCGTCTGGTCGCGGTACTCGAGGCCGAGGTCGTAGTACTTGAGGTCGACGTCGAGGAAGGGGAGGATGAGGTCCTTCTTGATCTTGTCCCAGCTGCGAGAGGGAGGGGAGCCGGGTGAGCGATGCCGCGGCAAGGACGGCTGGCCCGGCACACAGAGAGAGAGAGGGCGCACATGATGCGGGTCATCTCGTCGCCGTCCATCTGTGTGTGTCGAGGGGACGGTCAGCTCCTCGACCCGACCCGAGGCGAGCCGGCGCGACCGCGGACGAGCGGGCGTCGCGAGTGGGGACGCCGGGGCTGGGAGAGAGAATGGTGGGCGCTGCTCACCTCGACGACGGGCTTCTCGACCTTGATGCGCTGCTCGGGCTTGATGGACATGGCTGGATGGATAGTTCTAAGGGGTCAGGGAGCTGTAGGACAGAGGCGGGGTGGTGGAGGGAGGAGGAGGAGGAGGGAGGAGGGAGCCGCGACGGCCGCGGGTGTCTCGCGCCGCGCGGGCCCGGCCGCCGCTTTGTCCGACCCGCGACGACAACCTCCCCAGGGCACGGCCGCCGGCACCGCGCCGTCCGCCGTACGAAGCAGTAAGAGAGCGAGAGAGGACGCACTCGGGGCCGGACGCAAGTTGGCCTGCGCAGCGCTCACCGCCGCCGTGCTGCTCACCTCGCGCACCTGCTGCTGCTGCTGCTGCTGCATCGCCGCGAGGCGCGCGAGCGTCGCCGACCCTGCGAGTGCACTCGAGCGAGTCGCTGCTCCTGTCGGGGCGAGCGAGCGCACGGTCGAGTACGACGGGGCCGAGATGCGGGTGTTGGCGGTGGTCGAGGTGGACGAGGTCGAGGCGAGGGAAGCACGCGCGCGCAGCGCAGTGCGGGCAAAGGGCGTGGCGCGGAGCATCGTCGTCGCGGTCGTCGACTGGGTGTGGGAGCGAGGAGGAGGACGAGCAGCAGCTGGTCGATCACGGCTCCGCGCACCGCCTCAGGTCGACGTCGATATCCGCCGCGAAATCTCTCGCTCTGCCTTGCCGGCGCATCTTTGACTCTCTGTTCTCACGCCTCGGCACTCGTCGTCGGGGATAAGGGCTCGCTGTCGATATTGCTCTCTCTCTCCAGATCCGACTTCTGCGCTACACGGCCAAGTCGCGGCGCTTCTCGACGCCCGGCGGCAGGACCTCGTCGTCGACGTACTCGGTCTGGTCCCACAGTTTGAGCGCTGCGACGACGTCGCGAGGGTCAGTGAGGCTGTCCTCGGACAGGAGAGAGAGAGCGAGTTGGAGCCGAGAGACGCACCCTCGTTCCAGTCTGTGCCGGGGAGGAGGAGAGGTGAGCGAGGGCTTGACGACGACGACGACGCCGAGAGAGAGAGAGAGAGCAAGGAACGCACCCTTCTTACGCCTTCTCCTGACGTCGAAGAACCCAACGTCGAACGCGAACCGGTCAAGGAACGAGCTGCCGGGCAGGGCCGCGAGCCCAACCCTCTTCCACCTCCTGTCCCTCTCCTGGACAAACACGTCTGCGTCCCTCGGGAGGCCCGCGCGTTCGACCGCGAGGCGCTCGACGCGCTGTCGCAGGTCGTCGCGCATCTCGCGCAGGAGGAGGAGCTGGCGCTTGCCGACAAAGAGGAGCCGCGCGAGCGCGAGCGCGGCCCGCAGCGACGACGTCAGGTCCTCGAGGAACCGGAGCGTGAGCCACATGAAGGCGAGGAGGACGGGGACGTTCAACAGGGGGAGGAGAGGGAAGGTGACGAGGGACGCGACGGCGAGGACGGCGAGGCCCGAGATGAGGCCCGTGACGAGCTTGGTCTGTGCGACCTGCGCGCGAGGGAGCGAGACTCGTGGTCAGGACGGGTTCGAGAGCGGGTTGGTGGACGTCCCCTGACGTACCTCGTCGTAGGTGCTGCGAGGGAAAGGGGCACAAGGTCGGTCAGATCCTGCTGCCGAGAGAGAGAGAGAGAGGCTCGAGCGAGAGGAGGACGCACTCAAAGACGGGGCCCTTGCGGACGAGCCTCCCGCTGCTCTTTCTCGTCGAGAGGAACACGGGTACCCACAGGACGAGGCCCGGGATCGACACGAGGAAGAGGAGGACCGAGCCGGCGATGCGCACGACGAGGCGCTTGAGGACGATGCGGCGGTGCAGGAGGCGCGTGTTGCGCACTCGGTCGTCTGCGACGGGTTCAAGACCGAGTCAGGACGGCGTCGCGCGTACGCACAGACGGGCAGAAGAGAGAGAGGGGCGCGCACCCTTGATGCCGTGCAGGTAAAGGAGGTCCTGCGGGCCGTCCCGACGAGGCGAGGTCAGTGCTTCGTCCCGCCGGGACACATGACGAGGGAGGGGTCCGAGCGAGAGACGCACCTGGTATGTCTTGAGGTCCCTCCTGAGGCGCACGAGCTCGTCCCGACGCTCGTCGTCGTCGTCGTCCGTCTTGAGCGCCGCGTCGCCGTTCCCACCGCCATTGCCGCCGTTCTGCTCTCGCGCGAGCGCAAAGTAGTCACCGCCCGCGCCGCCCGCCGTGTCGCGCATCGGCGTCTGCCACACGACGCCCGTGTCGCGCTTGGTGAGGCCCGGCCGGCTCTTGACCCTGAGCGGCGCCGTCGCCGGCGCCGCCTGGTCGTCGTCGCCGCCGGCGCGCTCCCGCTCCCGCCCCCGCCCCTGCACCTCGACCCGGTGCCACCGCTCGCCCCTCTCGCCCTGTCCCTCGCCCTCGCCGCCCTCGTCCGCAGCAGCCCCAACCGCCTCGTCCCACGTCCTGTCGGCCTTCTTGCCCGCGAGCGCGTCTACGAACCGCTGCGTGAGGCGCACGTGGTCACCGAGCGTGAGGCTCGTCCCAAGGGGCGCGTACAGCCGGCGGGCCGTGTTGGCGATGCGGATGACGGACCACGAGGGGGCGTCGAGGATGCCCGACCGGATCGAGGCCCCGATCGAGGCCGTCAGGGAGCGGATCGCGCGCTCGTGTGCGTCGGGCGCTGCTGTGGGCGGGGGAGCGGACGGGTCGCGCGCCCCGGGCGTCGAGGAGGAGGAGGAGGAGGTGGTGGTGGTGGTGGTCGTGAGGGAGGGCGAGGCGATGAGGTCCGGGTGGGTGCGGGCCGAGACAAAGATGGGCGGGTGGAACGTGACGAGGACGTCTGAGCGGAAGAGGTTCTGCGAGCGAGCGCGAGCGCGAGGTCAGTGCGCCGCCCCGACGGGGACGAGGAGAGACGACGAAAGAGGGGGGCGGGGAGAGGGGACGCACGCGGTGGAGGTACGTGATCGAGGCCGTCTGGACTGCGAGCTCGAACGCCGGGTTGTCCTTCTGGCGCGACAGCGTGTCGCTGACGATGCGGCTCACGCCCTGCTTGAGGGGCGCGATCTCGGGGTAGTAGCGCGACATGCCCTCGGGGAAGAGGACGATGGCGTCGCCGTGCTCGAGGGCGCCGATGAGCGTCTCGAACACGGTGCCGTTGTCGACGGGCTGCCCGGCGTGGTCCTTGGGCCGCTTGATCGGGAGCGTGCCGGCGCTCTCGATGAGCCACGACGTGAACGTCCCTCGACCGAACTGCGTGTCCTTTGCCGTGAGGCGCAGAAGCGACCGACGCTGCGACGAGTCGAGGTGTCAGATCTAGGCTCGAGCCTTGAGAGAGAGGAAGAGGTGGACGCACAGACGGCGGCACGGTCGTGACGAGCAGGAGCGCGTCGGTGAGCGAGTTGCTGTGGTTGGCCGTGATCATGCTGCGTGGCGAGGGTCGACAGTCAGTGTCGTCTCTGGCGTTCACGAGGAAAGAGAGAGAGAGGGGCGCACCAAGGTACACCATCTCGCGGGATGTGCTCGGCGCCCTCGACGACGACGCTGCTGTAGAAGACGCGCAGGACTGCTCCGTGCGCAAGAGAGAGGAGTCAGCGCCGGTCGAAGGAGAGAGAGAGAGAGAGACGAGCTGGGACGCACCAAAGCGGAACAGCCACCGGATGAGGACGTAGGCGAGCGGCGCCGACGAGCCCGCGAGCTGCGGCGAGGACGACGACGAGGTCGAGGTGCGCTTAGCCGACCCGTTGGGGCGCGCGGGACCGTCGAGATTGTCCTCGAAGCGTGCGGGCGCATCGTGCGGCTGGTCGCGGCCCGTCATGGCCTGTGTGCGGCTGGTCGAGAGGGAGAGTGGGGGAAGAGGGCGATGACGATGGATGGGCGAGGGGGAGACGGGGCGAGACGGGCTGTGAGGTCTTGCGTTGTCGCAGGGGGTCACTCTGGCGGATAGAGCGACTGTCGAGCAAGCCAAGAGCAGGCTGCAGCGCGAGAGTCGACGACCTAGCTTGCTCCTCGCTTCCTCGCTCACTCTGAGCAGCCCGAAAGTGGAGCAGTCTCTCTTTCTCTCTCTGTCCCAAGAGACACAGAGATACAGGCACAGAATCAGAACCAGTGTAGCAGGCGACCCGCACTGCAGGCCGTCGTCGTCGTCGTCGTCGTCGTCGTCGTGCAAGCCCGCTCCGTGCTCCTCGTCCTCCTCGCGTCGCGCTCGTCCGCACTCCCGCCAACGCGCCCCCGACCGTCGAGGGGAGAACAGGTACGCTCAGCAGCGACCGCCTCGGAGGGTGAGGACGAGGTGGAGCGTCGAGCCGGCCTCGACCTTGAGGTCCTCGGCCTTCTTGTCGTCGGGCCTGCGTGCGGGCCGCACGAGTGGGTCAGCCGTCAGTCTTCAATACGAGCGCGCTCGGGCAGGGACGTCCCGCTCGAGCACGCAGGCGAGAAGGGCGAGCGAGCCGACGCACATGGCCTTGCCGAGGAAGATGAGGCGCTGCTGTGCGGGCGGGATCCCCTCCTTCTCCTCGAGCTGCTCCTTGATCTTCTGGGTCTGCAGACGCGCAAAGATGCGTGTGAGCTGCTTCCACACCAACACCGGGTGCGAGCAGGACGGCGTCCGGCTCGGCACGAGGAGGGTCGAGAGGCAGAGCGGACGACGCACCGTGTGAGAGGGCTCAATGTCGAGCTCGATCTGGCGGGTCGGTTGGCCGCACGATGAACGGCGGCGGGGAGCAGGCGCAGGGTGGTGTCGGCAGGCGAGGCGAGGGTGCGGCGAGAGGGAGGGAGGGAGGGGGAGGCAGTGGAGGTCAGCGCCTCGACCACCTCGCACGAGGACCCCCAAGTGGACGAAGCACAGGCGCACCTCCTTGCCGGTAAGAGTCTGCGCGCGGCGCAAAGGCGGGTCAGTGCAGCTCGTGGCGGCCGGGAAAGGCGCGCGCTCGGCGACTCGGGGGCCGACAGCTCGCAGGGCCGGCGGGGTGACGCGCGAGGCAAGGCTGTGGAGGAGCTCACCTTGATCTTGATCTGCATGCTGGGCGAACTGCGGTGCGAGGGGCGAGGTGGGTGGGGACGAGGCGAGGAGCGAGCGATGAGCGAAGCGGACCTCGACCGACGTCGACAAGCTGCCTCTCGAGAGAACCGCTTCCGAGGAGCCGACAGACTGCTCAACAAAGCTATGTGCAAGTGCCGCTACCCAAACCCGCGCGCGACCCGGACCTCCTCCTCCTCCTCCTCCTCACCTTGTTCCTCGGCGCTCACCCCTCGCAAGCGACCACCGTCGCGCCGCGCGCCACCTCCCAAGTCCCGCGCGGCGCCCTCGCGTCCTCGTCGCCGGCACCAGCAGCAGCACCGGGGTACCCGCCTCGCGCAGGGGGGTCCGGGAGCGACGCCGTGCGGCGCAGGGGCGGGCGCGCGACGGGCGGGACCACGGCTGGCGACGGCGACGGCGAGCTGGCGACGTCGCCGCGGGCGTCGTGCTCGTCGTCGGCGGCGGCGAGAGGAGGCGGCGGCGGGAGGAGGAGGAGCAAGCTGAGCGGCGCGACGGTCGTCGGCTCGTCGACGAGGCCGTCCGACTGCTCGGCGGGCGGGGCGTACTCGACGGGCGGCGCGGGGAGCGCGTCGAGGCCGTCGTCGTCGGGGAGAAGGAACAGGTCGACGTCGCCGAGGAGGAGCTCGTCGTCGTCGTCGTCATTGTCGTCAAGCGACGACGCGGCGCTGCCGAGGAGGGAGCTCGAGTCGTCCGACCAGCCGAGGTGCGAGTAGTCGGAGCTCGAGTCGTCGCTGCTGCTGCTGTCGAGCGTCGAGTCGGCGCCGGCATCGACAACCTGCGGCTGCGACTCGTTCGCTCGGGCGCGCCACGCGTTCCAGACGACCCACCTGCGGCGAGGGGAAGCAGAAGAGTCAGGTCCGGCGCCGTCGAGTCGAGGGAGACGAAACGCGAGCCTGGGACGCACTTCTTGAACCGCAAGCCCGCCTCGGCGCCCTTGCTCGTCCCACCGTCGCTCGCCATCCTCGCCCGCAGGTTGAGCAGCAGCGCCTTCTTGAGAGCCGGGCCCTCGAGCTGCTGCTGCTGCTGCTGCTGCGTGACCCGCTCCCGCTCCTCGCGCTCCCGCCGCTCGACGAGCGGCGCCTCGTACACGGTGCGCAGGCCCGACACGCCAAACACGGCCGGGCTCGACGCGGCCCTCGCCGGCATGCCCGGCCGCAGCAGCGCCCGCGGCGGCGCACCTTGTCCCTCTGCCGCCTCGCGCGCCCCGCCGCGCCCTCGCCCTCCTCGACCACCCCCACCACCACGTCCGCCCCGCTCGCGGCTCCTCCCCCGACTCCTGCTCCTGCTCCTGCTCCCGCTCCCTCTCCTCTCCTTGCGCAGGGATGCCTCGGCGCCAGCGTCAGCGCTGCTGACGCCGAGCGCGCCAAACCGCCCGACGAGCTGCGCCGCCGCGGCCGCGACCCACCCGTCGCCCGAGCCGCACTCGCACGCCTCGGGTGCGCCCTCGCGCGCGAACCGGCTCGGCGTGCCCTCGCCGTGAGAGCGCGACACCGAGGGCCACCACGGGGCGTCGCGGGCGGTCGAGGAGGACCGGCGCGGTGGCGCCGGCGCCGGGCGTTTGGACTCTGCCGCCGAGGAGGAGGAAGAGGAGGAGGAGGAGGAGGACGCGGCGGCGGGCCCGGCGAGGAGGAGGTGCGAGCGGAGGAACGCGTGGCGGACTTTGCGCTTCTTGGAGGAGAGGTGCGGGTTCGGGGACGTGTCGGAGGAGGGGCGCTTGGAGGAGGACGAGGGGGAGAGGGAGAGGGCGACGTCGGGAGGCGGGAGGCGGTACGCGAACGATGGGGGTGTGAGGCCGTCGAGGGTGAAGGTGGGTGTGGTAGGGAGGTGCCCGAGGAGCGAGGGAAGGAAAGCCGGGCCAGCTGCGAGAAGGTGGGGGGAAGGGTGAGGTGAGCACGACGCCGTATCGGCGCAGAGCAGAGAGACTCGAGCCGCACCTGTGCCCTCGAGCACCGTCCCACTCGCCTCGCCTCGCTGCCGAAGCTGCCCCGCCCCTGTTCCCCTCCCCCTCCCCCTCGTCGGCTGCTTATCGTCCGCCAGCCCCTGCCGCCCCTCGCCCCGCCCCTCACGCGCGTCCACTGCTCGAAGCGCACCGCCCAGCTGCTCCTCGTGCGCAGCCTTGGTGAGCTGGGTGCGGCCCTGGCGCGCGCGCGCGAGCGGCAGCGGCGGGGTCGGGGTCGAGGCGGGGCGCGGGGAGCTGGAGAAGGTGGTGCGCGCCGACGGGCGGTGGTCGTGCTCGTCGAGGGCGAGGCGCGCCGTGCGCTGGCGTGGTGAGCGCCGGGTGGCCGCTGCAGTGTCGGCCATGAGCATGCGAGGAGCGCGAGAGGGTCGAGAGACGGAGGAGCCGGAGCCGCGACGTCGGCCTCGCTCGTGCCGGACCTTTCTCTCTCTCTCTCTCTCGCACGACTCGCTCGACACTCTGCGTACGACGCTTGCGCCGCACCTCGCCGCGCTACAAGTACCCGTACCGCACCGGCGCCACCGCCGCCGCCCCTCCCCCTCCTGCTCCTGCTCCTGCCGCGCCGCGCTCGCGCCCCTCCAGCTCGTGCGCGTCCAACCCAAACGTGCTCTTCCTCGGCGTCGGTGTCCCCGCCGCCTGCTCGACGCCCGACGCCCACGCATCGCCCGGCCCCGCCGCCGCCGCGTGGCCTGCGTAGGCCGACGACGACGACGACGAGCGGCGCCCGCGCGAGTCGACGTGCGGCGCGCCGTCCCGCTCGTCGTCGTCGAGCCACGCGCCATAGTCCGACACCGAGATGCCCGTGAGCGGGCGCTGGCCCGGCGGCGGCGGCGGCGCGAGGGCGGCGAGCGGGTCGTCGTTCGTGGCGAAGCCGGCGGGAGGGGGTGCGAGCGAGTGCAGCGGTGGCGGCGAGTGGTGGTGGTGGTCGTCGGCGGCGGGAGAAGGCTGGAACGTCTGCGGGTGGAGCGTGAGCCCTCTGCGCCGGCGAGGAGGCGGCTCGAGAGAGAGAGAGAGTGAGAGAGAAAGAGAGCGAGCGACGCACTCGTCTCAGCCACCCCGGCTCCTCTCCCTCTCCTCCCCGTCCTCCTCCTCCTCCTCCTCCTCCCCCCGCAGCCCCACCCGCCCCGTACAAATCCGCAATCGGCGTCCCCTGCGCCCGCTCGCCGCTCGCCGCGTCCGTGCGCGTCGCGCGCCGCAGAGGGCCGAGCGGGACGCCCTTGAACATGTCGCTCAGGCTCTGCGGGTGGTGGGCCGAGGAGGGGTGTGTGTGAGGGGTGCGGGATGAGGGAGGAGAAGGGGAGGGGAGGGGAGGAGGGAGGACGAGGAGTGAGGGAGGGAGGACGAGGAGCGAGGGAGCACGAGGGCTCACCGAGGTGTGCTTCATCGTGCGCGAGAGGGCGCCGCTCATGACGTGGTCTTTGCCGCCTGCAATCCATCGATGCGCGAGGTCAGGCGGCGCCCTTGCCCTTGCCGAGATAGAGAGAGAGAGGGGGAGGGGAAGGGCAGGGGGGGACGCACGCTCGAGCGACGCGAGGACCGAGAGGAGGTACAGGTTCGGGAGCACGATCGAGAGGGCCTGTGCGTGTACGAGACGGACAGGGAGAGGGAGAGGAAGAGAGAGGGAGGGAGGGAGAGAGAGAAAGAGAGGGAGGGACAAAAGAGTCAGTCAGTCCCGCCCACCCTCGCGCGGCCCGAGCGCCTCAATCGAGAGAGAGAGCGAGCGACGACGCACCAACGCCACCCCGCTCCCCTCGCCGCCCCGCGCCGTTCACGCGACGTAGAACGCGCACGCGAGGACCGACACGACGGCCGTCGCCGCGTTGCTCTGCCGCGCGCGCACGCACGGAACCGAGGACCGAGTCAGCCAGTCAGAGGTTCGCCGAGCTCGTCGGCGAGGAGTCGAGGCGCGGCGTGGCGAGAGAGGGAGAGAGGGGGAGAGGGAGAGAGAGAGAGAGGTGGCGAGGAGGCAGGTGAAAGTGGGAGAGGGAGAGAGAGAGAGGGGGGAATCGGCAAGGCTTCGACGCACCTCGAACACGAGCCGCACGCAGACCTCGCCGAGGTTCTCGTCCCTCGCCGCGAACCGGCCCGAGGAGGAGCGCATGTCGGCGACGAGCGCGAGCGCGATGACCGTGTTCTGCGAGGGGCGAGCGGGCGGCGGGCGGGCGGATGGGTTGGTGAGTGGCTCGAGGTGGTGGCGGAAGGAGGAGGAGGGA